TTCTCTGTTAAACTAATATGAAGTGAATTTCTATACTAGTTGAACGTTTATATTTGTTGAAGAAAGTAGACATACAGCTTCAGCAGTGAAATGTTGGAAATGGTCCTCGAGTTTTGAGCTTTTGAATTTTGGAGCTGAAGGAAGAAATTAAATTGCTCCACACCCTAAATGCTATATTAAGGGAGATGTGTTTTTGTAATGTAATTTTAAAACTAAAAAGCAGCCATTTTGTGTAGTTCCCCCTCCCCCCTCCCTCCCTTTTGAGAAATCAGTATTCTCAAAATTGCTGCATTTGGGATATAACAAGAATGTTTTTCTTTCCTCCAAGGTCATTCTGATTTCCTGCTGTGATGTGCACACTGTGACTAATGGTGTGATGTTCTTTTAAAATGCAGCAATAGTCTTATGTAATGCTGCTAGTCTAGTCATTTGATTTGGAAGTATAGCCTCATTAGTCTTTGGAAAGAGGCTTTTGTTAAGCTTGCCTTAAAGAACCATTCCAGCCTAATTATTGAGGTTAAGCTAAAAGGTTATAATACAAGAATAGCACAGTCCTTTATGTCCAACTGAGCAAAGATCTTTGATATTCATTGTGATTTACATTTTGTATCTTGCACTATCTCCCCAGAGGGATACACTCTGCTTACCCTAATTTTGGAGAGTTTGCCCGTAAAACACATTCAGTGCACTTTACAGTGAAGCCCTTTGGGATATTACCTGGAGTGAAAGGAACTATACCAAATGTGAATATTATTATTTGCTTCAGTTTGGCAAGAGATAAGGCTTGGGGATCCAAGAGTGTGAGTTGGGATACTGCGAGACATTAGCCAGTTAAAACCACAAAGTGAGCCATTGAAAGCATTGGCTGATATGTCATCAGCAGTGCTCTGAAGTACTCTGGTCCCACCTGGCCCAGGGACCAGGATACCAAAAAGCTCACAATTATAATTACAGATGTTTAATGGATTCAACAAGCTATTGGAGGTGGGAGACAGCGTGAAGGGTAGAATAGGGTAGAAGGGTAGAGTTGAGTACAAATACATATTCGCTACTTTACATACTTCTTGTGAAGCGCTTTGAGATGTTTTGATCATATGATAAGGCTCTATATTAAATGCATGGATTATTATTACTTATTATTGGAGAGAGACAACTAATTACACCTACCTGGTAGAGGGGCAAACAATTGTAATTATCAAAACCAGTGTTTTTTGCCAGGGGCTGAGGAGAGCTTTTTAGTGCGCCTACAATTAAACTGCTTTGGAATGCTTCAGTGCAAAGTACTAGTTACATTTTTTTTAATGTTAGATATACACATGAGGTAGAGGGTATCGTAAGGAGAAAGGAGAGTGGGTGGGAACTTATGTGGAGCATAAACACTTGTATAGACTAGTTGGGTTGAATGGCTTGTTCCCTTGCTGTACAATATATGTATAAATCTGTGTTATTGCATGTTGATCCCTTTTGCTGTCATTTAGTAATGTTGTTAATGACCTGTAATGCGTTCCTTCAGCGGTTCAGTTGGTATCTCAGTAAATGTACATCAGGAAGATATACCCTTGATATCCTTGAAAACAGACATCCAAAAGATTCAACAAATTGAAAGAGCAAATTTAGGAGAGGTGGAAGAAAAACAAAAAGTGGAAAGTTAAGGCATGTTTAACAATGCAGCACTCCCCCATCACTGGACCGGAGTGTCAGCCTAAACTATGAGTTCAAAGTCCTGACATGGGCTTGCACCCACAATCTCCTGACCCAGGTGAGAGTGCAACTGAGTTGGGCTGAACTTATGTTGTAGAGGACCGTTCAGTTATATAAATGCAATGTATATGTGGAATCATTGAGAGTTTTAGGTACTTGTTGGAGAGAATTATAATGTATTATTTATGTGTCAGTATATTATCTTATAAAATCTGCAATAGTCTGAAGACGTGAAGACCTTGTGGTTGACAAGAACTGTGATCTTCTATATTCCTGCTCCTAAATGACCTATTGTGCAAGTATGAGCATAAATTGGATTAAAATTATTTTTTGAAGGGAGTATCATATGACTTCTTTCTCTTGTGTCATTTGTCTATCCAGAAGTGAGTATACAGTATTGAAAATGCTCTTCATTCACAAATATTACTACTTTTATAATGATGTTCAAATTATCAATTACCTGCTGTATAGGAATATCATTGGGCCTTTCAGTTCTGTAAAGCTACCTGTAAGAGTGTCATTAAATGCAGTTGTTGTGCAGCAGGAACCAAAGTGAGTTTCTGTTTTGGTCAGAGTAATTTCTCACTGTAACAGTTTGTTTTACATATTTGTCTTAAACACCTACTCTAAATTCATATCCCCAAATTATTTGACCTGATATTTAATATTTTTTTATTCCTCCTCAGATTGTTCAAGAGATTCGGAATCGGACTATTCAAAATGTCTGCAAGCATAGGAGTATGCCACACAGCATCTGGGATTTAATACCAACTCATCGGCGGACCTTACTGAAACATATTCTAGTCAACGATGAATATAAGTTTTTGTATTGTTATGTTCCAAAAGTTGCATGCTCTAACTGGAAGCGTGTTGTTAAAGTTCTGAATGGAGCTCTGGAGAATGTGGATGTGCAAATTAAAATGAACCACAAGAATGACTTAGTCTTCCTGGGAGACTTGAAGCCAAGTGAAATTAAATACAGGCTCAGAAATTATTTTAAGTTCATATTTGTTCGAGACCCTATGGAAAGATTGTTGTCTGCCTACCGGAACAAGTTTGGTGAGATTGAAGCTTACCAAAAGAGGTATGGAATGGAGATTGTTAAAAGATATAGGAAAAACATAGGGCAGTCCAAGGGAGATGATGTTACATTTACTGAATTTTTACAATACTTGCTGGATGAAGATGTAGAAAAGATGAATGAACATTGGATGCCAGTTTATAACCTGTGCCAACCATGTGCTGTGATGTACGATTATATTGGCTCCTATGAACAATTGCACAGTGATGCACGGTTTGTACTTCACCGTGTTGGGGCCCCGGAGAATGTTCAGTTTCCTCTAAGACAAGGGTGGTATAAACCCGTCACTAAAGAGACCTTACATTATTACCTGTGTAAAGTGCCACAAGGACTTGTAAACGAGCTTTTGCCAAAATACATTATGGACTTTTCATTATATGCCTATCCACTTCCAAATGTTACAAGTGAATATTGTAGACATTAAAAGGACTGTAACGTTGTTGGTAGTTTCCCCCGCCACTTACAAAAGTATAATTTGAAGATTTCTTATGGCATCAATGTCATCACATTGTGTGTGAATGTGTGATGGCAATGTGATTCACCACATTGCCCCCTCCAGCATCTCACTTCCAGCACAAGGCTCCCCTCCAGCATTTCACTCCCCCAAAGTGGTGAGGATTCATCTTTTAAGGCATTTGAGTTCTGAAAGTCTTACCAATTGTTATTAATTTCAGAATTCGTAATGCAATTTTTAGAGATTACTGATCCTGGGCCAGTATACACTGAAAATAACTTCAATGTCAGAGGCCCAGATTGCCTCAAGAGAAGCACGCTATCTTCTGGCTGTTTGATCTGTTGTTCTTGACTATTTATCCTTGTTCAGACACCTCTCTCCTAACCACAAGTAGGGTTCAGATGTTACATCATTGGTATTTTTTAATCACTTGGATACTTTCATAATGTTTATATAGTGTATTACGATAGAAAGATGGAAGCCTTAATCATGATATTGAGGGTAACATAATTTGCCACTTATAAAGCTGTTTACAGTGAGTGTATATAATATATGGACTTGAAATATAATTATTTTACCTTTTAGACTATAAAAAGCGTGCACTATCTCCTCATTATAACCTTGCTTTATTCATTGCTTATGCTTTCCTCTCCAGAAAACAATTCTGTGGAATCCCTTAGCTATTTGTGGCTTCCACAGATAGTTTTGTTGAAAGGTGATGCAAAATATTTAGAATACAATTCAATAACTGGGGAGCTAGCTGGGCTGAAGGTTGCACAAAATGTTTTTTTCTTTTTAAATAGGTATATTTTTATGATGCTACAATATAGGTCAAATAAACCATTACTACTTTTAATACATTCGTTATTCAGTTTATTTTTTGTTGATAATGACTGATGTATGTAATTATATACATTATGTTAAGCTGTTGTTAAACTCAAGTATTTGATTTAACTGCCTAAATATGTCTTAATTGCTTAAATGATCTGGGTGTGCTAACGATCGGTTGATATCACAGTGGGTTTGGTTCTACTTGCTGGTAATAATAATAATAATAATCCTTGCATTTGATATAGCGCTTTTCACGTCGGGAGGACGTCCAAAGCGCTTCACAGAACACACTGTAAAGTGAATTGACTGTATATTTGTGGGCGAATGCGGCAGCCAATTGCGCACAGGAATGTCCCACAAACAGTCATATGAATTGAAAATGACCAATTTATTATTGTTTTTGTTTTTGGAGGGATTATTATTAGGCGTGTGGAGTAAGGAAACTTGCCCAAGGTTTCGCCCTGCCTGGAATTGAACTCAGGTCTCTCACTTGCAAAGCGAGTGCTCTAACCACTGAGCTACAGGACTCAGAAGAGATGTACTATACAATCTTGTTTATCTTGGGACGTCTTCTCTACATGAAAGGCGCTATACAAATGTTGTTGTTGTTGTTTATCACATCTATTTTAAGATTGAATTTCCTAGAAGGAAGCATGATCTCATTTTTAGGAAATGGACTGACATGATTCCCAAATGAACAAATACTATTATAATATAAACATAGGAACATTAGGCTGGAAAAGACCATTGTAGTTCCATCTACCTGGTACCACAAATCTAAATCCCATTGCCTCCCGTACTCTCCAGTCCAACTGCATCACGCACCAGCCTGATAGCCCTTGAAATTGTTAACATTTCTGCTGCTTCTATAATTATAAACAATGACTTTTGTTTACACATTCAAAATGTTCCCAGACTTAGTCGGTGAAGCCCAGCACCATGCTTTGCTCTGATGGACTAGCATGATTTTGATGTCTATTTTCTTTCCCCACTAGTTCGTGAGACAGTTTTTCAAAGTCTGAGTGCAGATTTCAGACTGACCTTGGACTATTTATATTATACATAAATATATTGTCGGGGTTGGTGGGGGGTGGTCTGACACATGTGGGAAACACTTAACCATGCTTAAGTAGCCAAACCAGAATTGAAATTGCACATGATATTTACTTGTGACAGGAATGCACACTCACTCCTTGCAGTAACAACAACAAAATTACATTTGTATAGCGGCTTTCACGTTATGAGGATGTCCCAAGACGCTGGACAGTCAGAGTTTCAGACCCTAGATGGGGGTCGGGATCGGGGAGGGTGGAGGGCTGGGGTGGGGGGAAGCAGGGTGATTGAAAGCATGTCGAAGAGGAGGGTCTTGAGATGGGTCTTGAAGGAGGCAAAGGAGGGGGCGAGGTGGAGGGACAGCGGGATGAAATTCCAGAGGGTGGGCGCAGAGTGGCAGAAGGCCTGCCCACCAATGGTTGGGCGGGCGAGGCTGGGGGACATGAAGCAGGCCGGAGCCCGCTCAGCGAAGATAGTGGGCAGGATGGTAGGGGTTTAGGAGGTCGCAGGGGTAAGGAGGACCAAGACCATGGAGGGCTTTGAAGGTGAATACCAGGATCTTGAACTGTATCCTCTGTGTGATGGGAAGCCAATGGAGTCAGGCGAGGATGGGGATGATAGGGTCATGGAGCCTGGTGCAGGAGGGAGTATATAGATATTGAAGAGGGGATCAAGGACAGAGCCCTGAGGAATGCCACACGAGATGGAGCGGGCCTAGAGGAGAAACGTTTGTGGAAATGAAGTGCAGACGGTGTGAGAATTACGATCTGAACCAGTCAAGGACAGAGCCGTGAAGGTTGAAGTGAGAGGAGAGGCGGTGGATGAGGGTAGAGTGGTCGACAGTGTCGAAGGCAGCAGAGAAGTCAAGGAGGCAGAAGGAGCCCTGAATGTCATTTGACATGTTGACCAGTTTCTGTGCTGTGGGCGGCACGGAAACTCAATTGGAGGGGTTTGTGAAGGGAGTGGTGGGAGAAGAAGGAGTCCTGTAGCTCAGTGGTTAGAGCACTCGCTTTACAAGTGAGAGACCTGAGTTCAATTCCGGGCAGGGCAAAACCTTGGGCAAGTTTCCTTACTCCACACACCTAATAATAATCCCTCCAAAACCAAAAACAATAATAAATTGGTCATTTTCAATCTACGACTGTTTGTGGGACATTGCTGTGCGCAATTGGCTGCCGCGTTTGCCCACAAATATACAGTCAATTCACTTTACAGTGTGTTCCGTGAAGCGCTTTGGGACATCCTCCCGACGTGAAACGCGCTATATCAAATGCAAGGATTAAAAATTAAAAAATTAAAAAAGGAGCAAAGCTGGGAAGCAACAACTCATTCCAGGACCTTGGAGAGGAAAGGGAGGTTGGATGGGGCGGTAGTTGGAGAGTAGAGATGGATCCAGGATAGGAGTGATGAAGGTGGTTTTTAATGGGGTGGGAACAGTTCCAGTGGACAAGAAGAGGTTTATGATGTCTGTGAGCAGAGGGGCAAGGAGGTGGAGCTGGGAGGTAAGGAGAGGGGTAGGGATGGGGTTGAGGGAGCAGGTGGTCGGTTTCATGCGGTTTATAGTGGTGGTACTCTTTGACCGAGCCTTCAGTTCCCCTCTCGACTCCAGCCCCTCCTCGCTCCCTCCCTTCCCTCACCCTGACCATTTCCCCCCTGCTCGGGTCCCGACCCAACTGTCCAGCGCCTTGGGACGTCCTCCCGACGTGAAAGGCACTCTATAAATGCAATCTTGTTGTTGTTGTTGTTGTGAGAGAGGAGGGAGAGACGGGTTCGAAGGTGTGGAGGGAGGGATGGGTAGGGCTCGGGGTATGAGTGGGAGATGGGGAGGGTGTAGCAGATGGAATGGCAAAGACAGCTGAGCGGATCCCCTCAATTTTGGAATCAAGGAAGTCCAGCGTCACCTCGCAGTTGGCATTTGGGGTGAGGATGGGCGATAAGTAATAAGTAATGCACTAAGTAGTCCGGTACGAGCTAAGCTGGTCCACAGTACTCCAGGGCACCTCTGATGACAGCACGGCCTCACTGGCTGGATCTGGAAGGGCAACCAGTCACTGGAGAATACGCTTTCCATTCCAACAATCTACCTCTGCATGGAAATCTCAGCTTGGTTTGGATACTCAAGCATCACGTGCAGAGGTGCTCAGTTTACTGCATCTCAGAAGTTTGAATATGACAAATCAGATTTTTTTTCTGTTAAAAGTAATTTGCAACCCGGTTTACTCAATAGTCAAAAGATTTATTTTAGCAATTACTCCAGCAAATTAGTAATTTGGCCAATTCCCTCCAAATTTGTTTGAACAGTTTAGCTAAGTACCTAAAACAGTTAAAAGTTTGATTTTCCAAATAAAAGTTCTAAGGAACATTTACTTGTTTGGTTTAAGTTGGAAGAGAACATCTGGAAGTAGCTAAGGCGCAGTGCATCAGCCGCAGTAACATTTTTTTCCATTCTTGCACAGCTTCTTATGATCTAAAGCCAAAACAGTATCATCACTTGTAATCTAGCTAGTGTTGCATCAAATATTTTCAAATTCAATAACTAAATTCTTTGACTTAAAAATTGGAATTAACTTTAATATATTTGAGGTAAGCAAGGTAAAAATAATCAATTTGTCAATCTTCCCCTTGTGACGCTACTTGTACACTTAAGTTAAATAAGAAATCCCAAGGGAAATTCCTTAAACCTGAATCTTACCACAAAAGTGCTACACTGCATCCATAACCAAAAGCATCACTTCTGCAGTATCTCAAGATGTCAATAATGAAGGGAAAAAACTCTTCACTTCAAACCAAATGCAACATTGAGTTCCTTCCATACATTTTCCTCAGACGCTGTGAACATATGATAACATGATTTCATTATTGGCCTTCCCAAAAACTGGTTCACATATGTATGGTACTGAAGCTTTCCCCTTCCCCACGCATCCTCTATGTTGCTGCAAATTATGGAACTATGGATCAAAGGTGACACACTCAGGACAACTTGTAACCCACTCCACCATAAAATATGACTTACATTTAGTTTAAAGCCAGTAAATATGCTATCATTAGGCATTCCAGCCTTCACTGCTTTTCTTCCTTATCCAAAAGCCATTCAGATCATATTTTTGAAATGCAGCTTTGGTAGGATGAACAGGCATTTGACAATTTAAGTACCATGGGCAGTATCCAGTGGTTTATAATAAGAACTCAAGTACAACTGGTAGTCCAATATTTTATATCTGTTGAAATGTATTTTATTTGAGCAGTTTTGTATCCAGTGATAATCAAATATTCGAGAATTCATATAATTATTATTAGGGAGTAGTCTCACTCAGTTGTTAACACTCTTGCCTCTGAGGCATGTGGGTAGATTGACAATGTAGTCCTGGGGACATACTGCACTGTCAGAGGCGCCTTCCTTTGGAATGAGACCAAGGTCAACCAATGGCCCACTCTGCCTGTTCAGGTACTGATAAAATTCCCATGGTACTTTTCAAAAAGAGGAGTTTCTGCCGAAATTATGGCCAACAATCCCCCACATGAAATTGGTCATTCACTGTTTCAGGTTTCCGTGCTGCCCATAGCACAGAAACTGCCCTGGTCAAGGTCACCAATGACATCCTGACCATCTGTGACCAGGGCTCCCTCTGCCTTCTCTTCCTCCTCAACCTATCGGCAGCATTCGATACGGTCGACCACGCTATCCTCCTCCACCGCTTATCCTCCCACCTAAACCTTCAAGGTCCTGTCCTTGAGTGGTTTAGGTTGTACCTCTCCCACCGTCTTCACTTTGTCTCCACAAATGTTTTTTCCTCCGGCCCCCGCACTGTCTCATGTGGTGTCCCTCAAGGCTCTGTCCTCGGTCCCCTCCTCTTCACCCTCTATATGCTCCCCCTTGGTGACATCATCCGCAGACATGGGGTAACTTCCACATGTATGCGGATGACACCCAACTCTACCTTTCCTCCTCTACCCTCAACTCCACGACCACCGATGTCCTGACAGCTGCCTGTCCGACATCGAGTCCTGGACGACAGACAACTTTCTTCAGCTCAACGTGCGCAAAACTGAGGCCCTCCTGATTGGCTCGTGTCAGCGCCTCCGCACCTCAGGCGCTGACACCATCAGCATCCAAGGCTGCACTCTCCACCTCTCAAAGCCGTCAGGAACCTCGGGGTTCTGTTCGACCCTGAGCTGTCCTTTCTCCCCCATATCTGCGCCACAACTGGCACCGCCTTCCATCACCTCCGGAACATCGCCAGACTACGGCACTACCTCACCCCTCACGCTGCTGAAACCCTGGTTCACGCCTTTATCACCTCAAGGCTGGACTATGGGAACTCTCTCCTCGCCGGCCTTCCCGCCACCTCCCTCCACAAGCTGCAGGTCATTCAGAACTCTGCAGCTCGTGTACTGTCCCGCACCAGGCTTCGGGACCACATCACTCCCACCCTCGCTCGCCTCCACTGGCTCCCCATCCCCCAGAGGATTGATTTCAAGATCCTCATCCTCACCTACAAGGCCATTCACGGCCTCGCTGCCTCCTACCTCTCTGACCTACCTACCTACCTACCTGCCCGTACCCTCCGTTCCTCTGGCTCCAGTCTGCTCCACATCCCCCGCCCCAACCGCCCTACCATCGGTGGCCGGGCCTTCAGCCTCTCAGCCCCGAGGCTCTGGAACTCTATCCCCAGTGCCTTCGCCGCCTCCTCCCTTTCCTCCTTCAAGGCCGGTCTCAAGACCTTTCTCTTTGACCGTACCTTCAGCTCCCCTCTCGACTCTCTACCCCCTCCTCGCTCCCTCCCCTCACCATTTCCCCCCTGCTCGGGTCCTGACCCAACTGTACAGCGCTTTGGGACGTCCTCCCGACGTGAAAGGCGCTCTATAAATGGAATCTTGTTGTTGTTGTTGCTGTTAATTGTAGGAGACTGATTGGCTGCCGCATTCACCTACAAATAGTCAATACTTGAAAGTAAAATCTTGTGAAGCTCTTTGAGACAGCTCAACAATAAGGTGCTACATTAAATGAAAGGATTATTATACAAACTGGGATTTTAATGGTGATTTGTTTCGTTTCACAGCATAACGTACTGGGATGTATTTGTAACAACCAAATACTATAAAGTTTGGCTTCAATATACTCAAGAAAATGTAATTGTTGCTTCTTTCTTGAAACAAACATACCTGGTCTGTTTGGATCATGTAGGTCAGGGACCAAATCTTTTTAGACTTAATCCTCAAACTTCTTATCAGGTCAAGCTTTATATTTCTGGACTACAGCAATTCACTTTTACTGCAAAACTAAATTTGTGAAGAGTCCCATTGAAACAGCTGGGTGTTTGGTTTGACGTCTAGGCAGTACAACAGTCACCCATAGTAACAACTATTTTTACAGTGGCACTTTTTACTGCAGCATTAATTACTGTTTTACTAAACATAACTCACTAGGGCAACTAACAACGTAATAGTGAAATATGTCCTTGCCAGCTCTCAGGTCAGCTGTTTTATACAAATCTAATCTCATAACTGTACCTTATGGTTGGTTTATTTTGACACAAAACCATCAAAAAAATCAGACTACTTAACCACACTTAGTTTAAAAAAGCTAACTGATTTTTTTGCCAGACATTTTAACAATTGCGGTGAGAAATGAACTTCAGAACATAGTCTTATCTGTAGATATTTTACTTTTTGACTATTCTCAAAACACACTATAGATCAGAGACAATTGGGCAAGATGTCAGTGGAATTTTTGCTTTGAAGACTTGAACCCTATTCAGGTCCTATAAACTTGAAATTGGTCAAATGCTGCATAGATGTTTGGATTTAAAGGTTATCAAGTTACAAAATTGGATACAAGCACATATCATCGTTCCATTGAAAAGTTCTTTTTGGCACACATGGAAATGATTTGAGCAGCATGTGTATGAGCATCATGTGTACAAAAGCCAAGAATGAATAGAAAAATTAGGATAACAAATACAAGCATAAGTGAAAGACACAATCATTATTTTTCTATAAAGTATTAATGTTTAGTAGAAATAAATTCAGTCCAGATTTCCCGAAGGAATACAAGAATTTCTCAGTTTTATTACATTTCTTATAAATAAATGTTTGATAAGTTACTACAAACAGCAAAGTAAACTTAAAAAAATAATATGCACACAGTATTAAAAAACAAAATCGTAAACATTTATAATATGAAATTACGTTTAGTAACAAAGCAAACACCAAAGATATTGATTGTGCCAGAAAATATGGTAATACCAAAACTTTGACTCATACAGCAAGAAAAAAAAGCATTATTTTATATTTTTTTTGCCTCATCATCACAAATTTCACTTAATAAATACAAGATGAGACAGGTGTGCGGAAGTTGAGACACCCTACTGAGCAGTAGAAATTGAGCCATGAAATATGAAATTTGGCAATAATGGGAAAATAAGATCAAGTTTAATATATGAAAGTTAGTATCAGTGACTTGTTTTGAAATATGCTATTGCACTGGCTTTTCTATGGTTAAAGGAATGATTAGCCACATAGACCTGATCAACAATTTAACATCACCTTTTGGAAATTATCTATAGATTGTTCTGCAAGCAATTAATATACATTCCTCAATAATTTATGTTGAAATCATTCACTAGATCCATCCCAGGGACCTCCTTTGCAGTCATTAAATACATTCAGAAGTTTATTTTCAATACAAATACCACTTGAGGAAAATGCCAAGATGCTGAAACGTGGTTAATGACTGGGTCATTAATGTTTAAAGAACACTTTGTGGTTTAATAACCCACCACTGTCACCACTCATCTTTAAACAGTTGGAACTGGTAGCAAAAATATTTCTGTTATACTAACTGAGAACAAACATATCAATAAATAACTTAAGAGTGAAAACCTAATTCAGTACAAAAATAATTTTAGTGGCCGCAGCGTTTGAAAAATAATTTCTTCACAAACACTGACAATACAGTACACAAGATTTGTAGCATTATCTGGGCATTGCATCAGATAACACAAGAATGTCAATGCTCCATTTTTGTTCACATCTGTTTATCAAATTACTTGTGAAACAAATAATTGATTAGGATATGATAAAGATTTATCACATCACTTTTCTCAGATTGTAGAATTTTAAAAGCAAATTTTAATGCACATGGTTAAAGAGCTGTACTTATTTCATATTATCAACTGCTTGACGTGAGCTGATCAATTTTAAAAGTTGTGTTGTTTTCTGGTTTACTTGTCATCAAGTCAATATATTTGATCCAGTGAAATTCATGGAATTATACGATCAATAAAGGTTATATGAAAATCTAGCACAAAATCAACTATTAATAATTGTTTCTAATTGTAGCTCTGCATACAGTCACCAGGATTTTTGATCTGAATATTAATGCAAATTTGCTATTGATCTGTTCTGTGCAACACATTCTGGGAAGAATTGATTGACCGACCTAGATCTATTTTTGATAAGACGAGACAATGTTCTGTACTGTGCTAAGTACATGCTAGATGCTCAGAATAAATGGGGAAAAAAAGCTGTTTTTTTTTAATAAAACTAAAATGTTAAAGTAACAAACCGACAACAGTGTAGAGCAGATATGAACGTGCTGAAAATCAAGCACTATATGACTAGAATGTAATAAACAATCTTCTCTTGGCCATGAGTTTCCTTCATGTCAGAATTCCAGAAAGGCTGATGATAGACTAATGCTGATGGAAACGTTTCAGCACCTGACTTCCAAAACTCACTTTTGTTGAGACCTGTGGCTCCGTTTTGTAAGGCATGCTCATGACTTGAGTGAAGCCTACTCAAAGTAAACTTCTAAAAATGGGAAGAAAAAAAATTGTGTTTTTCAAATATCAACCAATTACAAATTGTACTTCACAGCAGGTTTGTTTCAATGTGTCTTATCAATACTGCTCATAGCGCAAAATGTGGTTTTACCAACCCTATAGGTAGTTTATTTTATTTTAATGAATACTTTTCTTTGGACATTTGATAGCACATTATGTGATTCCCATCATGATGGGCCAACATCATGTCTACTGAATCATGCTTTCCTCCAACGTGTTGTAATTACATTCATTCATGTAGACAATCACTTGGCGGGCATTCTGCACAAGTTCAAAGACTCCCTTGTTTCTTAGCTTTTTCTTAGGCTGGAGTTTATGGCTTTCTATATACTAGAAGTATTTTCTTTCCTCCATTTCAGGTATATTTGTTCCAATATTAATTGCAGACATGGGAACAATAGCTAGTGATTGCCACGGTCTTCAACTATGTTATTATTATTGTCCTAAGACCAGAGTGAAGGAAAGCTGGTGACTGATCAGCTCAGCATACTGTATTCATAAAGGTGACTGAGTGAGAGCCAACTTTCTACATTACCACTGTTTTTTCATCAAAAATAATTCCTTCATAGGAATGAGGCAACTAATGAATGCTACTGGGTAATCTGGAAAATTCTATTGCTAATTTGTGGAAAAGAATGTCAAAGACTAGAGCAACATCCATTTTAAAGAGTTGGTATGATAACATACCATCTCACCTTTAAAATCTTTATTTAAGATAATAAAAGACTCACTCGCCATTGAACTAGTCAGTACAGCGTTCTGTTCCTCTGAGAGGGGAGCAGCTATCTTGGGAACGTGAAAGAGGACTCAATGATCTTCTGACCGGGGATGAGGTACATAAAGATGTAGAGAGCCCATGGCGACGCATCTCCTGAATTGCTCGCTCTCTGCAGAAAATAATAAAACCAAATTCTAGTTCTAGAAAACATTTGCCAAATAGACGTACACATCGGAAACATTCATTACTTTGCAATGCATATCTGATAAATCAAAGAAAGGTTACTACAACTATGTAGACTCAATTGCACAAGATTTCAGGAATACTAAAAGATTATTAGGAGCCCTTGAGAAATAGCTGAAGTTGATTAAACCAGTCCAAAGGGTGAAATGTGTAGAGGAAAATACTGTGGCTCATTCTGATCATGAATAGCTGTATACAAAACTCAACAAGATTTTGAGTACAAGATTTTATGTACTGAATTTTAGTTTTCACTTACCTTTCAAAACGTTCTGTAGTTAGTTGGCGTTTGAGAACATCAAGTTCATTTTGAACCTGTGTAAATTTATTACGAAGCTGAGATATTTCTCGATTCTGGCTTGTTCTGTAAATATTATTGGAAATATAGATTAAAAACACGATATTCAGCAATACTTTGCAGACAAATCATGAATCACGTTTCTCCTCAACAACCTACCAAAGCAGATTCTCCTTACTCTATAGGCAGGACTGTTTTGGATCTAGAAATCCTAACTTCGTAGATGGATCATAACCCAGGTGAATAATAAACCTGCGTTTTCCTGGAACTGCTTGTACTCTCTGACAGGTGCTTAATGTCCCCTGTTCTGCCTGCCCTACCATCAGTGTTTGGGCTTTCAACCTCCACCCCCACTCTCTGGAACTCCATCCTGGAATCTTTCTTTGTCTCTGACAAATCTTTCCGAAGATACATTACGTCACAAACTAGTAAACTATAGTACAGCAATAACAACAGCAAGTTGCATTTATATAGTTCCTTTCACCTCAGGAAACTGCCGCAAGGTACTGGACAGTCAAGGGTTTGCACCCAAGCTGGAGGTTGAATTTGGGAGTGGTGGGATGGGGGAAGGGAGCGGGGAGGGGAGATGACCGAAAGTGTGGTCAAAGAAGGTCTCGATATGGACCTACAAGAAGATGAGGGAAGGGGCGAGGTGAAGGGATTCCAGGATGCAGTTCCAGAGAGTTGGCGGCAGATAGATTGAAAGCCCAACCACTGAGCTTGGGCAGGCACAGAAGGGGACGTGAAGAGGCCAGTGCCTGCTGAGTGGAGGGAGTATGCAGTTTGGTAGGGTTGAAGAAGGTCTCAGAGGCAGAGAATGGGGCAAGACCATGGAAGGATTTAAAAGTGAGGCCAAGGATCTTGAATTGAATCCTCTGAGGAATAGGGAGCCAGTGGAGCTGGACGAGTATCGGGGTGATAGGCTTGTGGAGTCTAGTTTGGGAGAGAACATGAGCTGCAGAGTACTGGATGGTCTGCAAATTATCGAGGAGAGAGCTGGAAAGTCCAGTGAGCAGGCCATTACCTTAGTCAAGCTTGGACATGTCAAGCGTGAATGTGAGTCCTGGTAGCCTAAGATGTAGTGGTGGAGGCGGGCAATGTTGCGAAAATGGAAAGAAGCCAAAAGGAGGTTTAAAGGACAGTTGAGAGTCCAACAAGACACCAGGGTTCCACACTGACTCCATTAGGTGGCGTGTGCATCCACAAAGATTAATGCTGTCAGCACATGAGGTAATAATCAGCTAGAGAAAGTGCCACGTTTCTCTTTCTTTCAAAGACTAAATAACTAAAGACTAAAGATTTCTCACAGCTAAGAGCTGAAGTGAAGAACTGTTATCTAGCTCAGGTTTAGAAACAATATTTTTAATTTGAGTGATGACTCTTTAAAGATGAGTTAACCAAAAGGCTATACAAGGCTACACTGCAACTTATCTAATATGCAACGATGCCTAACAGGAATCCTTAATGTGAAGAGGCAGACGTTCTCATGCTGACTTGCAGGAATTCCACACAAGTGGTTTTGACTTTCATTCAGATTTTACAACTCCACTCAGCACGATGCACCATTAACTTTCCTTATTACAAAATCCCATTAGACTTATTTAGTGGGTGAAGAAATTAATCTTACTATTTAAAATGCACAATGTAATCCTACAGGCCTTTGATCTGCATCAACAAAACTGATTTGAATACATTTTGTTTTAACTTACCGTTGTCTTCAAATGTAATTTTACAAACATTTTTTCTAAAAATCGTACACCAGCAGATCTTATCCTCATTTCTATGGTCTCAGTTATAAGGCTGCTGGATTTTAATTCATTATAAATAATAAACTTCATTTTAACGATTATTAAAGGGCACTCACGCTTTGCTCTCAGTGAGAGCCAGCTTGTCCTTTAGAAGCTGTATTTCGGATTCCTTTTCATGTTGTGACAGATGAGTCTGAAACTCCTTTTCTCGAGTTGATGACAACAGTGTCTCCAGGTTCTTTATAGTAATCCGTTCACTGCTCAACTGTTTCTTGAGAAGCTCAGTTTCTGACTTCACATCGTCCAGCTCACTTAAAACCTGAACAGTATTTGGGAAGAGAGTTTAAAAGGATAATACAGATTCACAATGTAACAGTGGTTTGGCTGTGTGAGCCAAACCAGCACAGACGAGTTGGGCCGAATGGCCTATTCCATGCTGTATCTTTCACTCTATGTGACTCCTTATATACACTCAAATTCACTTTAGTCGTAGCAATTGGGACCATAACATTTAATGGAGGTTAGGGGAATGAAGTTACGAATTAGAAGGCGATTAATACGAGCAGTGCAAAGAAATCTAGGTGGTTTTATTAGGAAATTGAATGGGACTCTGCTGAATGTACCACTTAGGTAATTATACGATTTATAAAAATAAGACCTATGTGAGTTTTACTCTACAGTGTAAGCTGTACCCTCTGTTACAAGGCACTATATTATTATTACTATAAAATTGCTAAAATATTGACATCTGGATTTATGTTTCAAAAATCATATTTGAGGATTATAGTCCTGAAAAAAACCCTACGATTATTTAAATATACAACAGTTCTGATCCAGACAAATGTTAGCATGCATCTCAAAATCTCACTTTATATTAATTATATTAATTATACTTCAAATATCACTTTATTTCATCTTACCCTTTCAAGTTCCATATTCTTACAATTAAGTTGTCTCGACATCTGGTCCTTATTAGAGTCCATTTTGCTACAAAGTTCCCTGACGGAGGACAGGTCTGCTAATATATGGGAATTCTCACACTTGGTCTGTCGTAGCTCTTCTTCCATCTTGGATGTGGATTTTGCAATGCAAGAAATCTCATGCTCATATGCTTCTTGGGCAGAGATGTGCTACAATAAAGAAGAATTTACAGCAAAATTAATAAGAACGCAAACACACCTGGACACTATTAATTGAAAACAACTTGCATTTATACAGCTCCCTTCACGCAGGGTAGCACTATGTAGATTCCACAGCAACTAGATGAACCAGAACAAAATGGGATGAGGAATATAAAACTTGATTACCAGAATTTATGTACATTTCGTACCTCCTGTATTTCCCTTTCAAACTTTGACACTCTTTCCTCCAGATGCCGTCGCTCTGTGTCGACAGAGAGGAGCTCCAGTCGCATTGAACTGCTCTCTCCCTCTGCCTGATGGGCCTTAAGTTCCCAGGATTCAGCTTGGTTACTTGCTAGTCGGAACTGTTCCAGTATATGATGTAGTTCTTGTTCCTACCATGAAAAAAGAGAAGAAAAATAAAAAATATCCACTTTAGATTATATTATGCCATATATTTTCAAACCCGAGTATCTACAGCTTCACACTAGGACTCTGAGGTGGAACTGCGATGCTGGCAAAGAACATTAATAATGGGCATGGTTCCCAGGAACATGATTTTCTGTGATCTGAAAATGCAAGGTAAAAGTTCATTAAGCAAATTATACATGCGTATTGCAGGGTTAGACACAGAGAGGGAAAGGCAGAGAGAACAAGAATGAAGGGCTGACATCATATGGGCCCTTTAGTGACAGATCCTGATGGGAGAAGTTTGAATTTACACTGGAGCCAATTTATATTTTGCGCGAATCATCACTATCTCCTTAGGGCATCTAGGATGGGCAGTGAATGCTGGCAAACTGCCACTGATATCCCAAGGGCAGGAAGCACAAGTTCCACATTTCAAGAAAAACTATAAATAAAGAAAGAAAGATTGGACAATTTAGAAAACAAAAACTTTTATATTTGCAGATCGCAAACAAAATGGCTAAAAATGCTTCAAGTAATTTGTCAACAAATATGTGCATAAGTTATAGGCTACAAATTCAACTTAAAGTAGAAAGTTGTACGCATCAAACAGAAAATACTTTGATTTATTGGACCTGACAAGATCCTACTTTAAATTCCTTTAAACAATATACTCATTTTTGAAGGAATTTCTGATGAGGTCAGCATTACTGAAATGCACATCAAGTCAGGTTTTCTGCTCTGCTAACCTGAGTGCAATACTGTTGAGTATTTCCTCAGAATGCCACACCATGTAGAAGATAAATCTCCATTTTGACATCAGTAGGGGAGATTAATTTTGTCACTGACAAAGTTTGACGGTTGAATTTAGTGGTTGATGAGAAAGGATTATGGACCAAAATTAATTTCTTGCAAAGCTGTTTTAGATACCTGACTCCATATCGTGAAAGACCATGCACATGTACTCCTAAATTCCCTAAGAATTACCATCTCTCAATATAAACCATCAGTTCTTTTGATGCTGGTGATCATATGATAATAACAAAGAGAAATCCACAGGAGAGAACAGCATGTGGAAAATCCTTCATTGACTAAGTAGCCTTTTGGCATTCATTCATACCAGGTCTCCCTTGAAGTAATTTGGTTCCATCAATACAGCTGACTCAAAATTATTGGAGGTCCAAAGATTTCCAGTGCACTGAAACCATTCAAGCAACAAATTACATTTAAACTCTTTCATATCCCAAGGCACAGACTCTTGCATTGCAGAAATATTAACCAAAAGAGAAGATTCAAATGCAAATCATAATTCCAGCACAAAGTATTCCTAAACAGCCAACTACATTTCTTGAAAGGTTTGTAAACAGTATTTGTAGAGATATTTGGGCAGTATGTCGTGGATGTATGGGTTCTTCCTTATCCCTCAGAGATTCTATGATTAGGACAAAGAGAAAGAATGAGTGGAGGGTACTGATTTGTGTTAAATGAAGATGAGGAATGGGAGCAGATTCTTTTTTTTTTGGCGAAATATCATGGTTAATAGATTACAATTATTATCTCGTCCTTTTCATCTTTCATGATTTCCTACCTTGGAAGCCATTAAGTTCTCTATTCTTGACACCTCAGTGATGTAGTTATGAACTCTTGATTTCAATTCATCTTTCTCATTCAGAGCTTCTTCCAGCTCAGTGTTGATAGCCTGAGATGTAGATCAATAAAGATTACAATACCTTTCTAAATTGGTTTGCTAAGGCAAGAAAACATTTATTCAAACGCTTATTTAATGGGAAGACAATAAAAATTGCAAAACAAACACAATACTTATGGTGCTATCTGAATAGTATTCTTTGGCTTATTTACATCTGTATATTTTTATGACTCCTTTACAGTTTGTACATTTTAGACGTGGTACATTAATCTTCATGTAAAACAATAAAGGCACTAACAAGTGGACCAGGTCCCACTCACTCCACAGTATGCCGGGGTATCTATTTATAGACACCTACAAAACCTCCAGGAGGCCTTTGGAAAGTCTACGCACTTCATGCCCACCACACACTTCATACCCACACAGTTTTGTCCCACCATCAGCAGGTGAGCTTTCACCCACTTTACTCGTGCTGTCATTCCTCTGCCTCACCCCTTCTCTCTTTGCTTTCCAAGCTCTTAAGACCAAGTTATTTGACTGCACATTTATTCACTATCTTCTACTCGTGGGATTCAAACAATCTGAGTCAAAGTTGACATCCCTGGTCACTGTGAAGGCCAGCAAAGAAAGTGAGGCTGCTCAGCGTGGGGTTGGCATTCGCTAGGAGAGTTGGAAATCAGGAGTCTACATGGGCAGGGGCTTGCCGTGATCAGAAGTGCACGTGGCTTGAAGACCACACCACACAGCAATCATTAATTGAAATGAATTCAATGAATATTTCAACAACAATAAAATGACATTTATTCACAGAAACAACAACAAATTACATTTGTAAAGCGCCTTTCATTTCGGAAGAAGTCCCAAGGCGCTGCACAGACAGTTTCGGACCTGAGCTGGGGGGCAGGGTTGGGGAGGGTGGAGGTCAGGTAGGGAAGCAGGGAGATCGAAAATATGGTCGAAGAGGAGGGTCTTGAGATGGGTCTTAAAGGAGGCAAAGGAGGGGGCAAGGCGGAAGGACTGTGGTATGGAGTTCCAGAGGGTGGGGGCAGAAGGCTCGCCTGCCAAAGGTGGGGTAGGCGAGGCGGATTGATGTAAAGCAGGCCGGAGCCCGCTGAGCAGAAGGAGCGGGCAGGAAGGTAAGGGGTTAGGAGCTCACAGAGGTAGTGGGGAGCAAGAACATGGAGGGCTTTGAAGGTGAGGACCAGGATCTCGAACTGTATCTTGTGTGACAGGAAGCCAGTAGAGTCGGTCAAGGATGGGGGTGATAGGGTTACGGAACCTGGTGTGGGAGAGGACATGGGCTGCAGAGTTCTGGATGATCTGCAGCCTATCGAGGGAGGAGTTGGGGAGGCCAACAAGCAAGGAGTTTGCATAGTCAAGCCTCGATGTAATGAATGCAACTAAAAAAAATTTTTTTTTATAGTTCAAATACAGTTATGTACATTCCCAAAACAATAGGGTTTGTATACCAGTAAGAGGCAATATTCATATTACCTGATTTTCCCTCGTCATAGTAACCAGGTCATCTTGTAAACGTTGACTTTCTTTCAGAGCGATATCACGTGTCCTTGTTGCTTCCCTCAAGTCATTATTAACGCAATCCAGCTGGCGGCATAAACTGTTTACTTCCCGTTCTCGATTACACAGGGAGTCGTTCAGTCGACTAGAGTATTAAAAATCAGCATGGATTAAAAACTGAATAAAATACTAAAAGTATTTAACAATTACAGCTCTGTACATGTTTCCTGTTGAGTGTACTTACTCAATGGAAGATTCAAGTTCAGTCAAGGTAATCTTCATATTGGTAATGCACTTGTCCTATAAATGAGATATCACTAGTTAAATTTGTCAAATTTAAGCTATTTACAACAAAAAAAACACACATCCCAGCTCTGCAGCAGTAGGGATTGGAACTGGTTAGTTTTCTCATTCGGTCCTCATACCTTCACTTGGCTTATGATGCACAAATATCATGAACCATGCACTTTGGAGTGGAAGAATATTAAATAAAACATTTAAGTCTTATTGATGATTTTGTGAAGATCAAGCATTTAGATCCATGCGTCACCCACTCTTTTTTTCTGGGCTTTATAATTAGCATCAGTCGTGACTTCAACCCATTTAATCCACATTACATAAAGAAGAAAAACTAGCAATGGTTTTAACAAAAAGACAGTGGTAACCTTGTAGAGAACCTCTCCTTACCATCCTAAATAACAACAACTTGCACTTATATAGCACCCTTGACCCAGGGTAGCGTCCCAGAGCGAGAACATAATGATATTGGCAGGATAATTGGCACCGACCATGAGAATATACATCTAACATCCTAAAACGACTCAAGTGTGTGTCTTTTACAATTCATTCTTAAAAAGGTCAGCATGTATTTTGCTGCCTGTTGCAATGTCTACACGCCATGTTATTGCTATTGACTTGTCAAGAGTTTCCAGAGGTGAACGGGCAGTGCTCTTTACCACCTAGTTCTGTCACGCTCCCCTCACACTTACTATTTTGAAAAACCAATCCTGAATAAGATTTAATAATAAGAATCCTTGCATTTGATATAGCGCCTTATCACATCTTCGAGACGTCTCAAAGCGTTTCACAGAATATACTGTAAAGTGAATTGACTGTATATTTTGTGGGCAAAACGTGGCAGCCAACCGCGCACATCAGTGTCCTACAAACAGTCGTGGATTGAAGTGACCAATTGATTATTATATTTTTTGAAGGAATTATTATCCCCGGAAAAGCATTCCACTAATCGACTAACAACCGGGTTACTACTTACTGTTAGGTAAACAGAGGAATGTGGATTAAGGAAACTTGCCCAACATTCGCCCTGCTGGGAATCAAACCCAGATCTCTCACTTGCAAGGCGAGTGCTCTAACCACTGAGCTACAGGGTTCCATGTTTAATTAATTTAAGAGTTACTTTTGGCAGTTAGTGACAAGCTGTCACACGCTGAATCTGCTTCTGAACCTCAATGTTTTTGAACATATAAAGATTAAATAGCCACATTTGCATGCTTACCTTCTTCGCCATGTTATCTTCCAGATTAGCTACTCTTTCAGTCTTTTCATCCATAGCTTCCTGCAGGAAATCCTTCTCCTTATCCAGAGCAGATATGGTACTTCTTAGCAGGTTCATTTCGTCTCGCTGAGCAGAACTCTGTCTACTGAACTCAGCTACACAACAGAAAAGAGTGCATGAAAATGTTTTATGTTCATGCTATTCCTGTTGAACATCCATGTTCTTCAGCTGCATTACAAAACTTCCAATCAATTTGCACTAATCTGCACATAGTAAGTAATTTGCAGTACAACGCTTTTTAGATAAAAGAATTCTTCCCCTTCCTACTGGAAGATCCTTTGGCTCCTTTTTCTTCTGAGGTATGGTTCTATGGGTACCAGGCATTTTGCCAGTATAAAAATTAATGTATAAATCTAGACAGTGAGCTCTGACAGATTATTTGACTCTGGAGGGTACCTGACCTGAGCCCAATTAATAGATATGAGAACACTCACTGATATTTCTCTTTCAACTCAGGAGCACTAAAGCCAAATCGTAGCATTCAAATGCAGCTCTGGCTGAGATCAGCTAACAGCACATATTGGGTTTCTAAACTGTAGCTTTCTACAGTTTGGATCTTTGTGGATTTTTCACATAAACCTTTTAAATGCTTAATTAATATAGCTCACAGGATTCAGCTATATACTGCCATTACCTAGTCTATCTTCTTGTTGGTCAATTTGATCTTGAATTGATTGTAGCTCATTGTTTTTTGCAGAAAGCCGATGCTGCGAGTCTGTAAGAGATTTCTCCAGCTGTTCATTTATTAACCTGAGATATTAACACAACACAGTCATTTGTTACTGAGAATCACGCGGGTTCCAGCAGAATAATAATAATAATAATAATCCTTGCATTTGATATAGCGCTTTTCACGTCTGGAGGACGTCCCAAAGCGCTTCACAGAACACACTGTAAAGTGAATTGATTGTATATTTGTGGGCGAACGCGGCAGCCAATTGCGCACAGTAATGTCCCACAAACAGTCGTAGATTGAAAATGACCAATTTTATTATTGTTTATTTTGGGGGGAGGGATTATTATTAGGCGTGTGGAGTAAGGAAACTTTCCCAAGGTTTCACCCTGCCTGGAATTGAACTCGGTCTCTCGCTTGTAAAGTGAGTGCTCTAACCACTGAGCTACAGGACTCCACGAATAGTCTCACAGTGGACGGGCATCCCAATAATCACTGAATAACTAACCTCATCCATGGCACGTTCAATTAAAAAACATAAACAGAATTGATCTAAATTGTTTACAACAACAACTTGCATTCTTATAGCGCCTTTCACGTGGGGTAGCTTCCCGGAGCGCTTCACAGTGGAGGAGTCTGTCAACGAGCCAGGAGGAGAGGGAGGGGAGAGGTGACTGTAAGCACAATCAAAAAGCAAGGTCTTTAGGCGGGATTTGAAGGTGGGGAGGGGGCAAGGCAGAGGGATTGAGGGAGAGAGGTCCAGAGCATAGTGGCCGAAGCCACAGCCGCCGATGGTGGAACAGAGGGCACAAGGGACAAATAGGAGGCCAGAGCCAGCTGAACAGAGGCAGCGGTTTACAGCCAACAATGCAGCAGTTCCCCAGCACTGTATCCTAATGTCAGTCTGGACACATATAGTATATAACTTATCATCATCTTTGAACTAATGCCTTTTTTGAAGTCATGTGCATAACCCAACAAGACAACCATTATGTTATACACACCATTCAAATGCCTCTCAGTACTTATCCTTACACCTTTCAATATAATTCTTACCTGAATATTTATTTACGTTTGTTTTAAACACATCAACTACATGAACCACTTTAGGTGGGAGTTTACTTTAAATATCTCTGACTTGGTGGTTGGTGGTAGAAGAAGAAATATTCGCCCACAGCCCTTTATAATAAAAACAAAAGTTTCCAAGGCATATTTCACTAAACAGCCACTCACAAATTGTTAGCAAGCTCCTTACTCCTTAGCTGTTCACTCCCAATCTCCTATTTAAAACAAATCTGACATATTTCAAACAAATGAACACAAAGCAAACACTAACCTAAGTGAACTCAGCTCTGCCTTGTGATGAGAAGCATTATCTGAATTTTGCTGGAGTTTTTGTGATATACACCTGTACCGTTCTTCAAGTTCTGATATCGTTTCCTTCTGTGTCGTTATTTTCTTCTTCAAGGCAAAACGCTCATTTTCAAGCTCAAAAAAGAACAGGAGAGACTCTTATCAATTCCCTTTTCATCAAACAAGTTGTTAAACAGGGTTAATAAAAGCACAAACAAAAACAGAAATCGCTGGGACCACTCAGCAGGTCAGGCAGCATCTATGGCGAAAGGAAAGTGAGTTAACGTTTCGGGTCCATGACCCTTCGTCGGAACTGGGGCATGTTGGGAGGGAGAGGCTTTTAAGGACTAACAGAGAGGGGGGAGACAGGGCAAGGAAGACAAAGGTGAAAGTGGGGGTAGAGGACAGGGGATGATGGGTTAAAGAGATGTTAATGATGCAAACAAAGGGGGATTGCAACAAAACAGGGGAATAGAGGTGTTAATAATGCAAAACAAAGGGGGATGGAAGGGAGAAATGCAACAAACAGGCAGACCAGAGAGAGAAAAGGTATGTCTGGGACCCAGATGACGTGGTAATGGTCACAGAACAACAACAACAACAACAAGATTCCATTTATAAAGTGCCTTTCACATCAGGAGGACGCCCCAAGGCGCTGCACAGTTGGGTCATGACCCGAGCATTGGGGAAATGGTCAGGGTGAGGGGAGGGAAGGGAGGGAGCGAGGAGGGGGAAGAGGGGGAGGGGGAAGGTAAGCTATTATGGTCTGAAATTATTTAAATCAATATTGAGGCCAGAGGGCTGTAAGCTCCTTAGCAGATAGATGAGTCTATAAGGTCCCTAACCTGTGTATATTAAAGTGGTATTGTGGGGTTTACTTTCTCAATCACATTTAGAATCGTATATACTTCATAACTTCCCTTCTGAGGCTTCCTTTTCAAGGCTGAAGAGCCTTATGTTTATAATCAAGATTAAATCCTCATCTAATCGAAATCAAAGTTAGTGCTGATAAATAAGCCAGTAGTTTTGTTTCAAAACACATACAATTTTTATGTTTACAATATTGCTGATAATAGTTTCAATAACAGATTACATTGAGCCTCTTATCCAATGGTATAATGCTGAAGTGAATGGTCAAACAAATGCTGCCCAAATGGTTTCCGCGCTCACACAGTATAATTGCAGCGTGTACAGGGATGTATATTATATAGTTATTTTATGCAAATCCTAGTGTACCCATTGCTTCCAAGTACAAATCATTATTTTTGTGAAAAAAAACTTTTCCACTCATCTGTTATATGCTGCAATTGAGGCTCTGAAAGTTTTTCCCAAGTAAATGTTCACTTTTTTGTGCTTCTAAATTATATCAAAAGAATATTTAATTTACTAAGTAATTTTCCAAAAATAAGACATAGGACATATTTATTAATCAGTGCAAAGGGCATTTTGAACAAATTGACGTGCAATGTACATCCACTCTAAATTTATTTTAGCATTACAACATTACATTGCTTAGTGAAAATTAAGGCTCCACATTATTCCATAAAGATTGCAACCTAATTGGCAGTTTTAAATTCTGTTGATTTCAGCATTACTTTAAATTGTCATTGACAGTTTTCATTTTATTGAAACCATGTACACAGCATAAAAAGATAGAAAGCAGAGAGCAAGTAATGAGCTGTAATTTAATTACAGTGCATAGATGATGCCCATAGAACAGTAAAACAATTTATTCACAACCACACAGATGATGTCCTCCAAGCTTTGTTCTCACGGGTTATGATCCCATCTGAATGCCTTGATTACATTATAGACTTATTGCACATTTCCAACCATCTACCACTTTCTAAGTAGATGATATTATAATTTCATGATAGAACTCAATCTATTGGTATATTAGGACTGAAAAATGTATCTAACTTACCATTAGAGCACTCAACCAAACTGCATTCACAAGCTTGTCTTAGGGTACTTACTTCATGAATTGTATTTTCTAACTGTGACATCCTCTGTTCCATCTGTTTTGCGTTACATTCATTTGTTTCAAGAACACTCTAGAAAGAAAATATTGTAAATTCCCATCACAATTTACATAGCAACTTTTAAGTCCTTATCACAGAAAGTTAGTCTGCAGGTGCAGCAGCAATTAGGAAGGCGAACGGTATGTCAGCATTCATTATGAAAGGATTAGAGTATAAGAGTAGGGAAGTCTTGCTGCAACTGTATAGGCCCTGGTGAGACCACACCTGGAATACTGTGTCCAGTTTTGGTCTCCTCATTTAAGGAAGGATGTACTTGCCTTGGAGGGGGTGCAGTGTAGATTTACTAGGTTAGTACTAGGGATGAAGGGGATGAGTTACGAGGATAGGCTGACCAATCTGGGCCTATATTCTCTAGAATATAGAAGACAGCGCTTTGGGACGTCCTCCCGACGTGACAAGCACTATATCAAATGCAAGGATTATTATTATTGTTATTATAATTAGAGGGGATCTTATAGAAACCTACAAGATCATTAAAGAGCATGATAAGAGTAGATAGTGGGAGATTGTTTTCCCTGGTTGGAGAAATTAAAACCAGTGGTCACAACCTTACAATCAGAGGTCAGCCCTTTCGCACTGAGTTGAGGAAGAACTTCTTCACTCAAAGGGTAGTGATTGTATGGAACTCACTATCCCAAAGAGCTGTTGACGCTCAGTTCTTGAACATATTCAAGACTGAAACAGATAGATTTCTTATTGCTAAAGGGATTAAGGGATATGGGGATAAGGCAGGGTCAGGTTATTAGCTGGAGTTAGATTAGAAGATCAGCCATGATTGAATGGCGGGGAAGGCTCGAAGGGCCGAATGGCCTACTCCTGCTCCTACATGTTATGTTATGTTATGAAAGGTAACCTTTCATCTTATTACAGATAGAAAATCAACAAAAATCAAAGCTTTGAAACAGCTCATAATCTGGGCCAATAGAAAAGTGTGGAAATATTTTCCAAACATTGCGGAAAAATTTTACAGGACGTTGCAGTGGGTAGATTGGTGCTATTGAAGTACATTTACTGCCAACCTACATTCTTTCACTTTATTGATGAAAACTAAACATGAGGAGATTACACATATTAGATTGTTGCAATTTTTGCAATTAATTTCTTCTTCATCAAAAACTAGATGACCCATCTGGGGTGAGGCGGGGCGGGGACAGGGGATGGACACCGGCACAGGCCCAAAGATCTGCCAAAAAACGGACCCTCAGGACCAGTGTCCTGACTGTGGGACTACAGAAGCTCACCACCTCCTGCCTCTCAGGGTCCAGCACCACACACAGACACAGAGACAGAGACCCAGAGAGCGAGACGCACACACAGACCCAGAGACACACACACACACACAGACAAAGAGACAGAGACCCAGAGAGAGACACCCATACACAGACCCAGAGAGCCACACACACATACACAGAGACCCAGAGAGACACACACACACAGACATCCAAAGAGAGACACTCACAGACATCCAGAGATACACACACATAAATACAGAGATCCAGAGAGACACACACACACACACACACACAGAGGGAGACACACACACACATACACACCCAAGAGTCACACAGACAGAGAAAAACACACACACAGGCAGAGAGACACCCAGACACAGAGAGAGAGACACACACAGATACACAGACTCAGAGAAAGACACACACACAGGCAGAAAGACACGCAGACACAGATACACACACACAGAGATACACACACAGAGACCCAGAGGGAGACACACACACACACACATACACACAGAGAGTCACACAGACACAGAGAAAGACACACACACACAGGCAGAGAGACACACAGACACAGCGAGACACACACACACAGACACTGAGAGAGACACACAGACACAGAGAAAGACACACACACAGGCAGAGAGACACACAGACACAGAGAGATACACACACAAAGACACAGAGGGAGACACAGAGAGAGAGAGAGAGACACACACACAGACACACACACACACACAGACTGAGAGACACACAGACCCAGAGAAAGACACACACACAGACACACAGAGAGACACACACACATACTTTTAGACACAGAGACACACACTCAAAGACACAAAGAGATAACACACAAGAGAGGAGAGAGGCACACAGACACACTCACACAGAGACACTCACAAACAGACACACACACACACAGAGGAGAGATACACTCAAATAGACACTCATAAATACACACACACTCAGACAGACACACTCACAAACACACACATAGAGAGAGAGAGACACACACAGACAATCACAACACTGGTGCCTCCGAGTGGATCGAATCCCATCTCCCACTTGCGCTGCACCGTGTATGCCTGTCCGCCACCCCACCCACACTTGGGTCAGATAAACAGCGCAGCAACCCGGTGCCAGAGACTACATTTTATGGCGGGTTTATAGTGGAAGGCGCTATTTATAGCGGATTCTGCGGCAAAACCGTGGCAGCACTTTTCTATTGGCCCAGCTCATAACTTACTTGTCTGTATTTGAATCAGACGAGGATTTTATTATTTTTAAAGAAACGAGACTTGGAAAAATAAAGAAAAGTTCTCAATAAAAAGAATAGAAAATATTGTCACATATTCATTGGCTAGAACAGCCTGATAACAACAGAATGAACACATTTTACTAATAAAGTCTATTTAAACAATATATAATATAAAAGGATATCGGAAATGAGAATTTGGAAATCGAGTACAAGGTCTAAATTATGGCATTCGGGATGATGCACAATAAGCTATCTGCCCATTTTCTTGGGCACAAAATAGTTCAGAGACCCTAAAAAGAGCAGAAAGATACAGACATAAATGTACATACAAAACATATCGATCTGTAACAAATATCTTTAAGTACCTTTAGCCTGTCTCTCACGCTATCTCTCTCGGAGGTCATTCTCTTCAGGTCTGCTCTAGCATCGTCTCTTTCTTCTTCCATTCGCCTTTGAGACATTGGTGACGTAGCTTCCTTTCTTAACCTGGTCAATTCCTCTTGGGCCTGGAAGTAGTTTCCATTCATTAGGACATAGAAAACAAAGGTGCTTCGTAAGAGATTTAAAATGACATAAAGGTCGCTCATGGGTTAAGTATACCGAGGTTCTGGAACTCCCTTCCTCACTCCCTTCGCCTCGCCCACTCTCTTCCTATTTTCAGGTCTCGGCTGAAGTCCTTTCTTTTCGACCGCGCCTTTGGTCACCTTCCTCCCCCTCTCCTTGGCTCGGCCCCGGGATCCTTTACTGTGAAGCACTCTGAGACGCCGTCCGGCGTGAAGGGCGCTATATAAATCCAAGTTGTTGTTGTTGTTTCTGAATTGTACTTATCCATATTTCCACATGACCTTAAATACATTTTTATTTTGTGTTTTAGTTTCTTGATAATGTACTTGGCTCCTCCATGGATTCATATGAATATTTCTGGCTCAGTCCAATGCTGCAGGGTTATCCGTCAAGGGACTTGTTTATATTTTTATATTTACACGACAGAACAATTCAGCCTTTGATTAGAGAACCCGAGTTATCTTTTCTCTCCTCTTTTTTGGTCAGCTGTGTGTCTAACACAGGTTGAAACCCATCACCATGCTTAAGAGTATCCAAACCAAGCTGAGATTTCCATGCATCCCACCCACACCTGGAAATCCCATAGATAGATTATTGGAATGAAATGTGCACACTCTCCCTGGAGGGATGCATCCTGCTTACCTAATTCAGGAAAGTATTAGGCACAAGTTGTCAAGTGTCAAGGCTTGGGGATCCCAGAATGAGTTGGGGTACTGTTGGAGTCTAACCAGCTCAAAACCAACTTGCCATTGATATTGCTTTCCCACTGCTTGTCCAGCTAGGACCACCCTACCTGTTAGGGCCTTGGTTTACAAGGTTATTAACAGGAGCTGAGTGGGATGACTCCCTGAGTGGGAAGAGTCTGTCCCGACAAGCCAGACTGGCTAAACTGTCATCATCAGCGCCTTGGAGTACTGTATTTAAGAGTACAGCCTGGCTCAAGAACTGAACTATCACCACCACCACAGAGGGTTGACTTGATTCTGACATTCTGAAGCCAAGCAAGTCACCTGGAGCCAGCTCAGTATACAAGGAGACCATGGTTACTTCGCTCAAGGAGGGTGGTCACAAGTTGCTGAGCTCAGTGGTTATAGTCAAAGCTATACTCAGAGTTCAAAGTGGGAGTGATTTTAGAGCAGGAAATTAAAAACGGTCTTCCTACTTCCATTCGCTCTACTCCACCAAGTGAAGCTAAAACACTTCATCGTATAAATGAGACATTCATTTCCTAAGGGAGATTAATATGTATGGATGAAATTTTGAAATTTCTCCCCAACTCCCAAAGGTAATCAGCCTTATTCAAACCTGACCAGGTACACTTCACATATATTTTCTTAGTCCCAAAAGGAGTAAAACCAGTGTTCTACAGTGCGTTTCATCATCAAGATCTATAATTATTTCTATAACCTTCAATCTTGTATTCGAACAGACATTCATTCGGGATTTTTTTCCAGAGTGAAGTGATGTAGGGCTAAATTCTATGAGTGAAGTCTGTTTCGCAGCTCTATAATTGGTGACATTCAGGATATGTGGAATCACTACTGTTTCATAATAAAATCATAGAATCTTAACAGCACAGAAGGAGGCCATTTGGCCCATCGTGCCTGTGCCGACTCTTTGAAAAGAGTTATTCAACTTGCCCACTCCCCCGCTCTTATCCCATAATAATCCTTGCATTTGATATAGCGCTCTTCACGTCGGGAGGACGTCCCAAAGCGCTTCACAGACCTACAAATTATTTTCCTTTTTAAGTAAATATCCAATTCCCTTTTGGAAGCTACTATTGAATTTGCTTGTTTATAGCATGTTCTTTGACGGTGCCTTCGATCACCCTCCTTCCTCCCTGCCTCCACCCTCCCCGATCCCAATCCCCAGATCAGGTCTGAAACACTGACTATCGCTGGGTAAAAAAAATAAACACTGAAGTAAAATTAATTGACTTCCGGTTCCTGCTCAAATTTTTCCTCATTTACTGGAAATAGTAACACACGAGAATTTAGATACATTTAGGTTTCACTTTACTCTTATTCTGTTGTTTTTACCTCTTCATAAAGCATCATCAATTTGTCACGCTCTGAAGTCAGCATCTTGACATTACACTGGATTTCTGACATGTGTCGCTCAAATTTTTCCAGCACACACTGCAGCTCATCTCGCTCTCTGATGACTTTGAACAGTTCGGAGTTAGATCTGTTACTCTGTGGGCAGAAATACAGTTTCCCTTTAAAACAATGATTCTGTTTGAAAGGTTTCCAGAAACAATCTCATACTGTACAAATTATGAACAAAATTCCATTGGCATTAATGTCTACAGAAATGTAGTTGTAAAGATGTGCACTAACACTGTACAAACATGCTTAAGTCAATCTTTGCTAAAATACCAAAATACACAATTTTATAGCAGGAATTATCCTATAGCATTGTAGTACACTTCTAGACTTGTTAGCTTGCAATAATGTATAATGTTGTATTTTTCAAACTCTAAAAAAAAGTTCTGACGAAGGGTCGTGGACCCGAAACGTTGACTCACTTTTCTTTCTCCATAAATGCTGCCTGACCTGCTGAGTGTTCCCAGCGACTTGTTTTTATTTTTTAAAAAAAGTGTTTTTTTTGTGGGATTTAATATTTGTACTAATACAGTTTGTTGCAAGACAGATTCACACAGACATTTTGTTCCCATTAATGATAATGGGTGCCAGGGCGCCTGGACTCCAATCAAATCAAGTAATGAGACCAGCATCCCCTCAAAGTGGTGTGACAGTGGTGTACATGGTATTATATTGTTATAAGATGGGCACCAGGATGAAAATTTAACAGCGAAAAAACAAGTTCAAGTTAAGTGATTTTACAGGTGATTATAAACGTCATTTACTGAACACTTCTAAGGCTAATTTACATTACCTTCACAGGTGAAAGGCGACATGGACTGCGGCCACGCCTCGGAGAACGAGATGGGCTACTTTGTCCGCTCACCATACCCTGAAGGTATTCTACCTCACATTTGTAGTAATCCCTCTCTTCCTCCAAACTCTTCACAAATTTGTCCAAGCGAGATGGTGACCTATCCCCTCGCAGAGCCCCATGGTGTGATCGCATTCTTTCCAAATCCATGACTAGCTCTCGCTCTGGTGATTGGCAAAACAACAACAAATTACATTTGTATAGCCACTCATGTTGGGAGGTCATCCCAAGGTGCTGGACAGTCAGGGATTTGGACCTGAGCTGGGGGCTGGGATCAGGAGGGGTGGATGGCAGGGCGGGAAGGGGGTAGGAGGGTGACCGAAGGCCCGGTAGAAGAGGAGGGTCTTGAGATGTGCCTTGACATAGACAAGGGAAGGAGCAAGGTGAAGGGACTGTGGGATGGAGTTCCACAGGGTGAAGCAAAAAGCAATAAGCAATGAGTAGTCAAAAATAATAAAAGTTGTATGACTTTAGGAAACTAAAGCTTGGAATTATGGGAACAGCTCCAGGGAAGACTAAGTAGGAGACAGGGTGAGAAAGTAAAGGAACATTTTCAGACTATTTTAGAGAAAGGTACAGAAATTCACTCAAATGAAGAATAATTATAGGAAGACAAGATCATAGAATCATGCCAAAGAGTTCAAAACTAACAAATGATAAACAGAAATTCAAGGCAGCCATATTAACATGCGCTTCACTAGAGCGCAAATTTGCTTGTTATGTGGTTGCACTGTGGACCCCATTCACTGCGCAGATGCACAGCTGGCCTGGCTCTCATGGCACACACCAGGTGAATTTACATGGTAAATGGCTAACTTGCGGGTCAACAGGTCACTTCAATACTCATTGCTTTGTGCATCAAATATGAACAGCACCCAGGTAACCTTAGCACTCCAAGGGTTAATAGTCACAGTCACTAAAAAGCACCAATATATTTTAGTTAAAACAGCCCCGTGATTCCTCCCCTATTTCATTACCTTTTGTTATTTGTTTTTCAACTCGGTCACACAGTCTTTGCTTTTCCTGCTTCATTTGATTTAATAAGTCATTAAGAGTTTGAGTTTCTTTCATTTTACAATGCAGGTCGTTCTGAAGCTTGGCATTTTCACTGTGGCTGGCAGTTAATTCCTGGAATAGTCAGCGCACAGAATTATATAATTACAAAGCGTTCAGTACATTCCCCCTTAAAACCATTTACAACCACAAAGCACTTCAACAAGCCTGGCGTTTATGGGATTTTTATAATCATTCCCAGACAAAAAGTAGTTGTTTACATCAAATTTACTACTTTGAATACAAATGTGAAGTCACATAAATTTGTTCACGGAAGCAGGAAGAATTGTACCAAGATCACAATGGCAACTTTCTATTTTACCTCAACTTTTTCCCTACTCATCACTCTCAGTGGTGCCCTGATCTATAAACCATGCTTGGTTTTAATCTAAGTTTATGTCTGTGAAAAAAAGGTCTTCAAAAAATGTTACAGTATCCCAATGAGATAGACAGACCAAGATTGTGGTGTCCACAAAAACCTCCCATTCCTTAAGGCAGTAAGCGAGAGGTATCAGTTTCATCTCACCTTGGTGGAAATGTAAACCTCTAAAACATCAATACAGTCTCAATGGTCTGAACTTAATTGCTGGGTAGTGAAATGATTCATACCCGTTGAATGAATACAGGATAAAAGGTGGCTGACAATGAATTACAAGCCAATAATTCAATCAAGTAGCTCTAAAATAAGCTCATAAACTTCCAGAGTAAACCGTGAGCAGTTTACAATTGACATGAACTCCTTGAATTATTCTTAATTGAAATATCGCCGTCATAGTCTCTTAAATCAAATCCTACCAGGAGTTATGATTAATATTCTTTTATTGGGCTACTGCTGCTGACGTTACTTAGGGTTATAATAGCTTAGAGCAGGTACTGATCCTGAAGGTAAGGAAAACATCAACGTAGAATTATTGTAGCTCAGTGCTTAGAGTTCTCGCCTTGCAAGCAGGAGACCTGGGTTCAATTCCCAGCAGGGCGAAATCTTGGGCAAGTTTCCTTACCCCACACACCTGATAATAATCCCTCAAGAAAAAAGAACAATAATAATTTGATCACACAATCCATGACTGTTTGTGGGACACTGCTGTGCGCAATTGGCTGCTGCGTTTTGCCCACAAATATACAGTCAATTCACTTTACAGTATATTCTGTGAAGCGCTTTGAGACGTCTAGAAGATGTGAAAAGCGCTATATCAAATGCAAGAATTATTATACTATTATTATTACTCAAGGTGCTTCAATTGTATGTTTCTCTTGCACTGCATTTCTGTCACCTTTGAGCCAGCAAGTCATCAGTATTGAATGACAATTCTTTTCAAAATTGATCGAAAAGCACAAAACTCCGATGAATCACAATTCCTTAAAACTTTAGATTATTAAAAAGCAGGAATGGTTTACATGGCTTTTTCTTTAAACTGATCAATGAGCAAATAAAATGGGTCATTCACTTCATGGCTGTTTGTAGGACAAAGCTTTGCACAAATTAGCTATCACGTTCTCCAACAGAATACACTTTACGTGCATCCTGTGGAATAGTAATCCTTGCATTTGACATAGCGGTTTTATCGCGTCGTCAAGATGTCTCAAAGTGCTTCACAGCATATACTGTAAAAGTGCAGTGGCAGTGTATTTTGTGGGCGAAACGCGGCAGCCAGTTGCACACAGCAATGTCCCACAACCAGCAATGGAGTGAGTGACCAGTTTTATTTGGGTGATTTTTGGCTAGGACACTGGGAGAGAGAAATTCCCGTCTCTTTTCAAATAGCGCCATATTTTTTAAATTTTTGGGGGGATAATATTTTGAGACGTCTCCCAAAGTGAAAGGTGCTATATTAAATGTAAAGAAAAAGAAGCAATGTGGACACAGCTTAAGTGACCAGCTTTCTGATCTGCTTCATGTCCAGTCCAAGCAAGACGTGCACCGTCCAATCGCGGGATACACACATCATAAGCAAATTGGTGGCCTGGGTGTCACCCTGTATGATGAAGGATGACTTACTTTGTTCAGTTTAGCTAATGTATCTTCAAATCCTTCCAATTCTCTGTGCTGTTTCTGGATTTCATCCTGAAAATGTGAGATGCAATTCATGTTTAGATGCGGTCTTCCTCATTGTTCAAACAGTTGCCTGTCACAAACTAGTCAATCCGTAAACAGGATATATTTAGTCAATTTTGATCAAAGGTAGCTAGTTAGCAAGGTTATATGAAGAAACACAAGTTATAAACATAATAGTAGAGCAAATAAGGACAAAATCTGCAATATCAATCATTATTTGAGCTTAATGATTAAAACATACTCATGTAGCTTTAGATAAAAAACACTGATAAACATATGAAGACATGATTGATATAAATTACAACAACTAACATTTATATAGCACCCTTCACGCAGGGTAGCGTCCCGGTGTGCTTCAATGCACAAATTAGTTGCTAAATAGAAAATAATTGAATCCTTATGTGTAACAAATGCTAGAAAAGAAACCAATTGATTTCTGGGATCATTAACCATGACTACATTTTAATTTAAACAAAAACTTCCTAATATAGTAAAGGAGGCTGACTTACAGCCCTGAATTTCGATAATCTTTCTCGAAGTTCTTCTATTTCTACACACTGCCTCTTGACTTCATCCTGAAAAGATAAATAACAAATCCTTACTTTAAATCTATCTGTGAAGAATGAAAATAGCAGTGGGCAGATCTTCTTTTACAACAACAACAACAACAAGATTCCATTTATTGAGCGCCTTTCTCATCGGGAGGACGTCCCAAGGCGCTGTACAGTTGGGTCGGAACCCGAGCAGTGGGGAAATGGTGAGGGGAGGGAAGGGAGGGAGCGAGGAGGGGGTAGAGAGTCGAGAGGGGAGCTGAAGGCACGGTCATAGAGAAAGGTTTTGAGACCGGCCTTGAAGGAGGAAAGGGAGGAGGCGGCGAAGGCACTGGGGGATAGAGTTCCAGAGCCTCGGGGCTGAGAGGCTGAAGGCCCGGCCACCGATGGTAGGGCGGTTGGGGCGGGGGATGTGGAGCAGACCGGAGCCAGAGGAACGGAGGGTACGGGCAGGTAAGTAGGGGGATAGTAGGTCAGAGAGGTAGGAGGGAGCAAGGCCGTGAATGGCCTTGTAGGTGAGGATGAGGATCTTGAATTTGAACTTTTACAAAGAACTAGGGATTAGTTTGTTCATAGAAATGCTGCATAGAAGTATCACATATATCAGGGTGGTCCAACTAGTGGCCCGTGGGCTGTATCCAGCCCAGGGGATGATTTCATCCAGCCCGCAAACCATTTCCGTTATGAACTTCTCTTCCTGTCACTCTGATCAGTCCATTGTGCTAATCTGCTTAAGTCCCCCTGCAGTCTCTTGCTATTCTCATCAGGAAAAACTGGATTCTCACCGCTCTCTGGTGAAGAAGTTCCTCCTAAGCTCCTTATTAGATCTGCTACTAGCTATCTTATATTTATGCCCTCTTACTCTGGATTCACAAACAAATGAAAACATCCACCAACGTACATCTTATCGAATCCTTTCACAATCTTAAACCTCTCTATTAGGTCCTCTCAATATCTCAACTCGAGAGAAAAGCTGCAACCTGTCAAATCTGTTTGATGATCGATTGTGGGTAAGCTGGAAATCCATAAGGAGTTAAGGCATTTCTGTTGCAAACAGATCATAGTAATCTACCATGAGATGTGGGATTGAGAAAAATATATTTTGAGTGACCAGACGTCCAAAAATTCCATTAAATATTGGAGTATTAAAAGATCTGACAAGCCTGGAAAATGATTTCTGAATCCACAAGCAATAAGCCATTCTTTTATGATTACCTTAGCTGCTTGAATTTCCTTGTCAGCAATCTCCAGTGCCATTTCTTTGTCTTGCTCTAACTGCTGTGCCAAGTGGTCAATCTCATTCAGTTCATTACATAGGTGCTCGTTTTTGCTGCTTAAGTTTACAAGTTCATTTGCTGCATTGCTTTTCTTCTCCTGAAGCTCCTTCACCTGCTTGTCTAGATCGCAGTTAGTTCGCTGAAGATATTCAACCTGTAAGAATGTTTGAGGGGGGATAAATAATCCCGAGTATGTCACCTAAATTATCCAATCACTGGTGCAAATATGCATTAACAAAGAGGTGGCTACATCATCCAAACAGCAAGTGTGTGTGAATTCACAAAAATTGAATCAACATATTCCATCATCAAAGATAATGATCAAAGTTGTATACATACAAAAAAACAACTGCACATTGACAGAAATGTATAGACATTTTTCTGCATACACTGTGCAATTATAATCTAGCGATTTGGTTCCATAAAATCAGATCCCTTTATAACTGGGGTGGCGACGTTTAAAAATTACTTTGGGGTCATCAGGACACTGCTGGAAGCCAGCAATCATCCAGCCGATGTCAGTACAGGCTTGATGCCTGGAGGCTTTCTGCAACTACATCTTATGTGCAGCAAGCATGACATTTCCAGTGTTCCACCTCTCTGCCTTCCTTTACCCCTACACCACCCCTCCCCCATGCTCGGGCCCCGACATCTGACTGTTCAGCACTTTGGGACATCCTCCCGACGTGAAAGGCGCTCTATAAATGTAATTTTGTTGTTGTTGTTGTCCTCAGTACGTCAGCGCTATACAAGCACACGGTTCATCAGTGCAATAAACAAACCAACGCTATACACAATACAGTATCTGACTATATCTACAGAATTAGTATTTTCCTGCACAATAAGAGAACAATTTGTTTTCTGTTTAAAAGAAGCAGTAGAATTTTCTCAAGCACACTTTCACTGTCAAGTATGACCTGGTGTAGTTTTGCTGATGCTCAGCCACTTAAGAAACCATTTCAACAACTCTCCACAAAATGTTCCAACTGTTAGCTGAAAAGACACTTCCGTGAAATGAATCGGATCCATTTTTCCAGTAAAATACTTCAAACTGTAGACTATCGGGTTACCTGTAGGTTTAAATGTCCTATGAGGCGCTCATTGCTTCTGTTTTTAGATTCAAGAGAGATGACATCGTGAGGACGACCTCCTTCCAAAGCTCGGTTCAGACGCTCTATTTCCTGGTCTCTTGCCTCGATCTGCAAAAAATCCAGTTACAAATGGGGAAGACTTTCTATTAAGGTAAAATTCAGGTTAACAGTTGTGGCACTTCAAATTGCAACCCATATTGACTGTTCACTGCCAGTATGTCGAAAGTATAAAACAAGACAACAACAACAAATTACGTTTGTATAGAGCCTGTCACGTCAGGAGGATGTCCCAAGGCGCTGGACAATCACTGACCTCAACCCGAGCGGGGGGGTTGGGATCAAGGGGGATGGAGGGCAGGAAGGGTAGGGGTAGGAGGGCGACCATGGTTGAAGAGGAGGGTCTTGAGACGGGTTTTGAAGGAGGCAAGGGAGGGAGCGAGGCGGAGGGAATGTGGGATGGAGTTCCAAAGGGTGGAGGCAGAGAAACTGAAGGCTCGATTGTGGGGCGGGCTGGGCGGCGGACGTAGAGCTGACTGGAGCAGGTTTGACTCTATATCAAGCAGCATTGTAGTAAAGGGAGAGGTGCCTCCCTTCACTACAATGCCCCTTGATATAGTCAAACCTGTCTTCAACAACCTCTCAGGGGTCTGGGCCAAAGTGGCCTTTATATAAGGATGGCCTCTGAGTAAGGGTTCATTGCTGTGAGAACCGGGCAGACCGGACTAACCCAAATTGCAGTTAATTTCACCGGTTTTAGATACCTAAAGCATGATTAGCAAATACTCCACAAGAGAACAAACCCTATGCAAACCAAGGGTATTATTTAATAATGTAATGTCCTGAATTGTAACTTTGATGACAACAGAAGGTAGTTTTTGATTGAAATCATGGTGTTTGGGAGTTGAATTTAACAATTCAAAATCATTATCAATTCATTGTCTTGTTTAATCCACTCCTCGGATTCCCCGACTATTTACTGATGTTGCACCCGAGCAGTCCATTCGCTGTGTGTCACTCAATGGTCTCTTTAAAATAGTGCCCTCCTTGTAGTAACAGTAATTATTAAATCATTTGGGATGTTTTGATGGTGTAGGTACTACGACATAGTGTGTTTTTTCTCTCTTTAAGCAGAAACGGTTTAGCTGGTGATCCCCTTTCATGAGGTCACACAACACCGTATCATGAGGTCACCGGAGGTGGAATGCTTCACAAAACATCTCAAGACTTACCGCTTTGACTGTGCTTTCGGTCATCTTTCCCCTCCCCATCCCCAGCTCAGGTGCACAGCCAAGCAGTGTCAAGCGCTTTGAGACGTCCTCCCAACAAGGCGTTACATGCCTTCATTACATCCAAGCTCAACTATGCCAATGCCCTGCTTGTCGGTCTTCCCAAATCTTCCCTCCACAGGCTGCAGATCATCCAGAACTTGTGTTCTCTCCCGCACCAGGCATTATGCCTCCATCACACCCACCCTTGCCTGGCTCCACTGGCTCCAGATCTTTCAGAGGATCGAGTTCAAAATTCTTATTCTCACCATCAAGGCCCTCCATGGCCTCGTACCCTCTTACCTCTCCGACCTGCTAACCCCTTATCAACCTGTTCGCTCCCTCTGCTCAGCAGGCTCTGGCCTGCTCCATGTCCCCTGCCCAGCCCACCCCACCATCGGCGGTCAGGCCTTCAGCCTCTTTGCCCCCCGACTGTTCAGCGCATTGGGACGTCCTCCCCATGTGAAAAACCCTTTACAAATGTAATTTTGTATTGTATATAAATGTAAATTGTATTGTAAAATATCTGCTCTCAGACTGTTCTCCATCACCAGTATCTCTAAAGCATAAAACAAGACGCGGGCAGAAGTGCCCCCCTGTACTGCAATGCCACTTGACATACAATAGAAACAACATCCTTTGGACATGAGGCAAAGACTGATGTTCAGATTAAAACATTCCTACCTGTCTCTTGAACTTCCTTACGTCACGATCAGCTCGCTCCTGTTCATCGTTCAATCTATCAACTGTATTCTGCAGATCCTGTATTCTGGAATAAGCAACATCATAACTATCAAAATCCATGCTACCTCTCTGAGGTGGCAAAATACATGCAGATTTAGTGAAAATTCAAATAATAAAAGTGTTTCCTAAAACTAGTTCCTGGAGCAAGTAAATCAGCCGTGTTATTAACCACATGGTAATACTGTAAAGAACAGAACCAAGTGTACTGAAGGAGAGATTAGATTAAATTAAACAGGATTAGATTTTTTTATAAAAAGTATTTCTGTTCACTGGGTCCTGCAGATGCATCTCCACAAGCAAAATTCGAGACAAATGATTGCCTTGAACGAATTGCATTGAATTACCATCACCCCCAACAGCACATTAATTCACTCTAATATAACAAGCAGTCAAGTACAGCTTTAGATCTTGTCATTTCACACACACACACACATACACCCACCAAGTCTGGAAGCTTCTGCTCTTGCATTGAGGCATGTCTGTGCACAATTCCACTGTTTAAACCCTGGCCTTCTGCAGTGTGTTCCATTATTCTATCACCTTCAGAGAGTACGTATTGTTTTTCTCACCACAGTCATTAATGTGTTGAGTACAGTAAAATTACTCTTATTCTTATAAATCATATAATTGCCTAGGTCGTACATGCACCTATTCAGTTTTCCACCAAAAAAGCTCTTAAGATTTCATTGCGTTGATCGCATTTCATAAAATTGGATAAATGGCTAATTGTAATGTTTTCTTGGTCTCAAATACATCCTAAATTCTATGCAAATCATCTCCTAACTCGTAACGCCCCTACCGCATTTACCGTCAGCATTGAAGTATGCATGCACAGTACAGTAAGTACAGTAAAGTGTTTCACCCACAAAACATAGTCAATTCACTTTACAGTATATTCTGTGAAGCGCTTTGAGATGTCTAGAAGATGTGATAAGGCGCTAAATCAAATGCAAGGATTATTATTACTGCACCATTGAAGCAAGCGTGGAAAATGTGTTTGTTGTTATGTGTTAGTCATAAAAAATCTGACATTTACAAGTCGGCCTATAAATACTTTGGCTAAATGCTATGTTCCTGACTGATGCGATTTATGCGAGTTTTACTGTAAATGTCGCATATCTCTTCAAATCAATTGTTAGCTTGCAGAGCATTCATGCACACATCTTTGCTCAGTTCTTTAAAGCTGAATGTCAATTTTACAAATATTCCGTATGTAGCACAACAAAAGCACTCTATAGGCATTGTAATATAACTCCAAATGTACAAAAATCAGAATTAATGAATGTGAAGTTTCCATGACAGTTCAGTACAGTGACGTTATACTGAGGCAATTACTGAGGTAAAAATACCATTTTACTTTGGATCAGTGCTGTTGTCCCTCCCTTCCATCTGCTCTATACCATATGTACACATCAGCCTGTTCTCAAAATTAGTGAGAATCATGTTTCTTAGAGGTTAATAGAGGGCATATTGTACATTGTCTCGTATATGTATGTGAAAGATGGCCACAGTCTGTTTTCTATATGGAGACACTCAGAGAACCATCATTACCTGCACAAACTCATCTTTGTGACTGAAGTCTTTTTGGTAGTTCCAGACAAGCATGGGGCATCTATCCATTAAAAGTGGTGAGAGGCAGGGCTATGTAAAAGCAGCTTAGGCACCCAGCATACTGTGTCTCCTTCTCCCTCCCACTTACTCTGCACTCTCCACTTTGCATTTTATAATTTCACCTTTTATTACACTTTGTTATGTAATGTGTTGCATTACATGATGCATAGCTGTCATTTTTGAAATGACTATATAATACACTCTAGTGTCTAACACGGCCTTAACCAAGAACTTGGAAATCTGTTATTGTATAATCTGTGAGTTACTGCCCAGATTGTCCACTTCTAAATAAAGGTTAGATTAATCTACATTTAAAATTTGGGAATAGAACACCATAAAAACAATTAGCTCGAGATCCACACTAGGAATTTATGCTGCTTCAGATGTGTCTTTGTAGATTTTTTCCCGATTAACTTAGTACAAAAACATAGTACACAAAGGGAACGTCACTTCATAGTAATGATTATTTTCCACTTCTTCCGATTAGAATTTTATTGCGTCTATGTCTTCACTAAAATATCTCATCAGATCAAAACAGAAAGCAAACCATTCTGGGAGACTTCCCCCTGCTGGTAGCTTTACCAAACTGAAACCAGGTTAGCACACATTACTCTACTGTTCTTTTGTAGCAGAACAATCACTTTACACTGATCACGTTCAACATTAGAGAAGTCCATTCTTTCTACTTGGGCTTTTAATTGTATACAATTACTTTCGATAGTTACTTCAATAGAGGGTCCATTTTACCATTCAAAACAATGTCAATATTAAAGTCCTCTTTCATTGGATTTACAGTGATGGTCTAGGCAGGGCTATTATCCAGCTCTCTGCCCAGTAACTCAATTGTTGGTGGTTTGTATTTTCAGATATGAATCATAAATACCTGCAGTCAGCCACCTTCAAGAGGTCCAGAACATATGGATCATCACAATGAGGTAAAGGTGCTGATGAGATCCCTGAGGGGGGGACGGGATGGTCAATTTGCATTCGCTGTCGACGGAATGGGATGGACCGTTTTTTACCACCTGAGGAGACAAAGAAACACATTTGTGCGACAAACAGATCTAAGGAGCCGAGTTTTCATTTGACGTCTGTTTTTCCTTCAGCGTGCAAAACTTGTTCAAAATTCAAAGTCCTCGTCCTCACCTTCAAAGCCCTACGTGGCCTTGTCTCCCCCCTACAGCTGTGACCTGCTAATTCTTTATAGACCTACCCACTCCCTCTGCTCAGCAGGCTTGTACCTTTGGTCACCCGCCTATCCCTACCCTCCCTCCCTCCTGATTCCAACTCCCAGCTCGGATCCGAATTCCTGACTGTCCAGCGCCTTGGAACGTCCTCCCGACATGAAAGGCACTATATAAATGTTGTGAAAAGCGCTATATAAATGTTTCACTTAAATGTTGTTTATGTACGTACAAACATGTTCCATTTTGGTGTTTTATTAATAACGTTTTGCCAGATCCTGCTCCTCCACTTGAAGGTGGAGGTTTAAATAAAACAAACTGCCCCAACACCAGTTAATCTTGACATCTCTGCAGTTTGACAGCATTTCGACCCCCTGTTCTCAGTGATGCTCCTCAGTGAGAGAGTACACAAACTTCTCGGTAACTGGGTTACACAGGTCTATTTGCTCTGTGACGTCACTGTGTTTCCCAACCATTTGTGATATCAGTGTTGTTATGATGTCAGTGAGTCTGAGACCACATTGTCTTTCTGATTCATGAATTCGCCCAAATTCTTTACATCGCAAAGGGCAAGAACTACAGACAAGACAAGGCACATCAGACACTGATACCACTATTATCACAAGGGGTACTGTACTTAGTCACAGTACGATAGCCAAGCCGTGACACAAACAATAAGTAACCAAGACATTAAATATTATCAAATGGGAGCTTCACTCCCCCTCCCTCACGTGGCTTAGTTGACAAAGCTACCACCATCCAGTATAATATGCAGACCAGAAGGTTGTTAGCTCAAATCCTAGCGCGCACTGAGTTTGCTGATTTCTGTCAGTCGGAATTACAATCGTCATCAGTGCCAGTTGTAAATGGAGGAGGGTGGGGGGTATTGAAATCAGACAGGGTACCCACTCCTGATCAGTATCCAGTGACCACCACTAGGGATTATTCACACATATATAAAGGTTGGGATAAGGAATGCAGTGCAGTTAGTGTCTGTAGAATCATTTGTCAAGGAAAAATAAGTCAAATATCTTTAGAAGAGAATATAGTGAGAGAAGATTGTACAAACTACACTGCGACTAATTTTTTTTCCACAAATTCAATGGATTAAGGAAATAATCCAGAAGTGGATCATAGATTGTGAAACAGGGTGCTTTTTAATATTAGATGTTATGGATTGTGTCTTACTGGTATAAAATGCTGATATAAATTTGTGTGCTGTTGGTTTATTTGGGGAGAATGGCTAAAATTTAAATTAGCTTCAGAATTACCTTTTCACCATAATGTGTTTCTAAATAGAGTGAGAATCAAAACTTGAAATAAGTTCATAGCTGTAGGACAAATAATTATAATTTTTATAATATAAGGTGATGTTTTATGTTTATCCACACTGATCTATTGTTCAAGCAGTTTTGTTAAGCAGAATCCATATATTCTATTAAAACAGGAACAACAGTAGATACTTGGAAAGCAGAATATTAAAGGATAAAGGGGATGATTAGGAGAGATTAGATGATTTATGTCAAGAAAAACATCAGTGCAGACTTGAATCATCAAAAAGCCCATTATCTACTAGGCCATTGGAATCCATAATGCAGAAGAGATATCAGAGATGAATGACCTATGAGCAAAGACTAGTTGGCCAAATGGCTTCATTCTGTGCAGTAAATTTCTATGATTTAACATTCTATGTTTCTTACTGAAATATAACCCTTTCCCTTTACTGTTGTCACCAGATTTAAAGCCTGTTTACAACAGGTCAGTGGGGGTGGGGGGGGGGGAGTAGAAAGTTCTTCCAAACTTACATATAACAAAGAACTGTGGTGTTGCAAATTAATGTGTAGAGTGTATGTATAAGGTATCCATAACGTTCTGTTACCCAATTTCTTTCTGCATTGGACTGACCAAAAACTGAAACATGTGGAAGAATGATGATAATTGTATTTAGAAGTACTTAATTGTATTCAGTCCAAGTGTTTAACTGTATTCAAACTTCCAGAGGATCGGTGTGACCATCATTTCACGGCAGATAATGATCTAGCACCATGTTCAGTGCGACATCTTCCGTAACATGGATGGAGTGAGGAGGTGAAATGCATCTCTGACAGCTTGTTTCAGCTCCTCCATTCTCTCATATCACTGTGTTGTAACAGGGGGTAAGAGGTTTTTGTGGACACCTTGTACTTGGGTCGAGGAAGAAGGAATAAAGCTCAGATTCTGAGGCTGCACCTACCTGGAGTTTGCACCACAGCCTGTAGGTTTTTCTCCTGGAGCTGTTGGATTTTTTCAGTCTTAATTTTACTGTCCTTCTCCTGTGACCTCACTTTGTGCACATACTGGTTATTTAAGAACTTCAGGTCTGCAGTGTCATGCTCCAGCTTCCGAACAGTGGCTTTCAAATCTTTGCATCAGAAACAAAGTGAAACAAAATCACTATCCCGTCATACTGGCTTCAATTCAATAGGTCAAATGATCTAATACCTGGTTTCAATCTTTGGATATGAAATAAAGCTAAAATATTAACATGCTGACAAGACACTGTATTTGGATTTCTAGCTCTGGGATCTGAATGAATTATAATGAGGCTTTACAGTCATGTTGACAGAAAAAGTGTATTTCATGAAAGGAGATAATCTTAAAATTAAGTTGGTAAGGGACAGCAGAAAACATTTCTTCACATTCTTGTGTCAATGTGGAATGAGATACAGAATTAATTGGGATATCTAAATGAGAGATAATACAGCCCCACCTACTTATGGGTTTGAATTTTGTCGACATAAGTGTTTTGTTGACAAAGGACAAGTGGACAATACTTGTTCTGATAATAAAATTTCTGTACCATGTACCATAGAACTATATGATTCTCATATGTAAAACACATATATTTACATTTATTTTCATTGACTCATTTTAAAAAGTCATGCATTTAATTACAATTTCTGAACCACTTACTTGCATCTATTTTCATTACCTTATTTACAACAATTACATTAACTTATCTATAAAAATAGTAATGGATGTAAAAAGTAGTCATTTATGAGTACACTGTTGACATAAGTGGCAATAAAACAATGCCTTTAATACTGTTAGGGACCTAAACAATTTGTAGACATAAGTGTTGAGATCGATGGTACGTTTATAGCATTAATGTGCAGAGAAGTGACCGGAACTTCACTTTTTTGTCGATATAAGCGAGATGTCGGATTCAAGATAAGGGGGTGAGAACTGTATTTGGGAAGTAGCAATATAAAAGGATATTCAGAGCTGGGATTAAAAGATTCATCATGATCTAATGAACTGGGGAACAGGTTCCAAGGACTAAATAGTTTTGATGCCTCTCTGCCCCACCCTGGAACTTCATCCCATAGTCCCTTTGCCTTGCTCCTTCCCTTACCTCCTTCAAGACACGTCTCAAGTCCTCTTGGACCGTGTATTTGGTCACCCTCCTACCCCTACCCTGCCTGCTTTTCACCCCTCCCGATCCCAACCCCCAGCTCGGGTCCAAATCCCTGTCCAATGCCTTAGGATGCCCTCCCAACGTGGAAGTTGCTGTACAAATGTAATTTGTTGTTGTTGTTGAAGGGTTCCTGTTTAACTATGAATCTAAAATTTCAGTCTTTGCAAATGCTCTTTGCAAATAGGATAGTTTAATTGCCTTCTCTCCTGTGTCTCTCCTGTGAGTAAAGAAGCCAAAAATAAATAAAAGGATACTGTTAATTCAAAATGTTTCTTTATGCTAAATAACCTGTGCCACAGAAGGTATAAAATATACAGCCAGGGCCCATCATACTGTGCTTTGGTATATCGATATTATTGTCATGTGGGTCTATATATAGTGCAGACACACCATCGATCCAAAGCTTACAGGAAATATAGTACACTTGTGGTTTCCAGTGCTGAATAGCTCACTTTCTGTGCATGATATGCAGGAGACCGAGCCTTCAGCTCCCCTCTCGACTCTCTTCCTCCTCCTCGCTCCCTCCCTTCCCTCCCCTCACCCTGACCATTTCCCCCCTCCTCGCTCCCTCCCTTCCCTCCCCTCACCCTGACCATTTCCCCCTCCTCGCTCCCTTCCCTCCCCTCACCCTGACCATTTCCCCCCTGCTCGGGTCATGACCCAACTGTGCAGCGCCTTGGGACGTCCTCCCGACGTGAAAGGCGCTCTATAAATGGAATCTTGTTGTTGTTGTTGTTGTTGAGATATGGCCTCCATGCATATCCCAGCAACTGCTGAATATGTTCTTGAGAGCAGTTCCTGAGTGGCTTTCGGCAGAAATTTGTGGCTTAGTGACATCACCATTATCACGTGGTGTCTGATTTTATGGATCCACACTACTGTGTTATAATGGGATCCAATTTAAACAGCGGTTGGAAAATAAATAGTCTTATACAGTAAACTCCTGATAACTCGACCCTGGCTTAACTTTTCACTACCACTTGTCATCATGCTATCAATACCCCAACCACATTTATTTGTGTATTTATACATGTGCCTAACTCTCCACTCCTGATATTTCGCCTCTGAGCCCTTTTCCCTTGAGTGATAAGTTTTTTGAGGTATAAAATAATTCTTAAAACTTTTACCAATACAGTACAGGATACAGAAATTTGACAAAATAAATTCTGAGAAAAAATTGTAGAATATCCATGAAAATAATTGGTAATGTCTATCAACAGCCATTGATGTTCCCATCCCCTCAACAAACAGCACAGTAACTTTCAATGAAGTTAGGTCAGGGTGCAAATCCTTACCCATAATGTAATTTAACAGGAAAGTCAATTAACAAGTTTCTCCTTAGAACAGCAAGTAACAGATGGACCAGGTAAAAATAATAATTTGGTCACTCAATCCACGGCTGTTTGTAGGACACTGGTGTGTGCAATTGGTTGCGTTTCACCCACAAAATATGCAGTCATACACAGTTTCGCTTTACAGTTTTTTCTACAAAGTGCTTTGAGACATAAAGAATGCGATAAGGCTATATCAAACGCAAGGATCATTATTATTATCACAACCTCTTGAATGAAGACTGACCTCAAAGATGGAAATTCCAAAAGAGCAAAAGATGGGGTTGTAAACCCAATACTGTCTGATGTTTATTTATTAGCATGTGTCCTGATCTAATAAGTACTTTCTGGGTCAAAGGCTTTTAAAATAAGACTTAAATTTTCAATACATACACGTGGAACACACAAAATAAAACCAGGCTCTGAATGCTGTACACCTGCTGATGCATTTGCAGCAATGAAGGAGTACTTTGCTGGGTAAATAATTATTGTATATTGTTTCATGAATACTTTAAGCCCAGCTCAGGTCCCAAGCCAGGACTGTCCAGAGCCCAAGGACATCCTCTGACTTGAAAGGTATTATTTAAATGTAAATTTGTTTACGTTTGCTCTACCTCCTTCACTTACCTTCAATAACTTTTCTGCATGCAAACTTACCTCTGCAGAGGTGATCTGACTCTTCCTTTACTTTTAGTAATTGTTGGTGCAGCATATTGTTTTCCCTGACAAGCTGTCCATTCTCAGTCCTGTACGGCTCAAGTACAGCGTCCAGGTTCTCAATCTCCTTCTCGGTTTTCCCACATGACAGCTTGGCATTGCGGAGGCTTTCTGTTGTGTGCACCAAATCACTGCAAAACAACAACAGCTTTTAGAATATTACGCAGGAAGCACATACCCAAAACTCAAACAGCATGACCTGCTGGACATGTACAGATTTATCGCAGATTATAATAATAAATAATAATAATCCTTCTATTTGATATAGCGCTTTTCACATCTTCCAGATGTCTCAAAGCGCTTCACAGAATATACTGTAAAGTGAATTGACTGTATATTTGTGGGCGAAACGTAGCAGCCAATTGCGCACAGCAATGTCCCACAAACAGTCGTGGAATGAGTGACCAAATTCTTATTGTTTTTTTTTTAAGGATTATTATCCCTGGAAAAGCCATCCGCCAATCGACTAACAACCAAGTTCCCACTTACTACTAGGTAAACAGAGGCTTGTGGAGTAAGGAAACTTACCCAACATTTCGCCCTGTCGGAAAGCAAAATCAGGTCTCTTGTTTGCGAGGCGAGTGCTCTAACCACTGAGCTACAAGTTGATTTCTGCATTGGCTTGTTTCACGAAACTTGAAACTCGCTGTCAAGTCGGTAAATTTTGTTTCAATTTTGTCAAAATTTGGATTGTCAGGAGCAGCTAAAGAATTGGACCCTCTCCGCCTTTCTGGCACAACCGTCCTATGAAATGACTTAACCCGCTCATGAGGCAAGGTCCTGCCAAGTTCTCCTGCGCCTGGGCAGAACATTTTTCTTCATCAAACAAGCTCTCAGATTATTTGAAAGTATGCTGGCAGAAAATATACTACAGCATTTCTTGCCATTGTACCTGAAAAGCTTCTCCACCAGCGGAAGGGACTCTATCCCGAGAGGCTGTCTGTAGCCAAGTTGATCCAAGCGTTTCCGCAGGTTTATGAACTTTCTCTCCGAGGCGGTCGTCATATCCAGTGATTCTCAACAGCAAAACGTGGGTAAAATCCTGGATACCGAGACAAGCAGGAAACACAACGTAAACGTGACCCCGAGCACAGACATCAAAGAAAGCCTTCTGCCCGTAGGCAGTAGCCCGCAGCTCGATGTTTTCCCACTCCCTCCACTGCGGCCATGAAGAATGTAATCTGGAACGACGTCACTCAACCAAAGGAATTAGAACCACAGGACTAGAACCGACCGACCAAGAACAAAGGAAACCGAGCACAGCAACAGGGCCGGCGCTGACAGTCACTACACTCCCGGGCAGTCAGGCCGCTCGCCCACCAAAGGGGAGAAGAGGGTAAAACCCCTAAAGTACCAAAAGTCAAAAGTACCAGAGTGGGAGTTCAAGAAATCAACAGCTAAACAGTCACCTACGAAATACAGCGACTTTACAGTGTGTCCTTTGAAGCACTTTAAGATGTCCCTCCTCCGATCTCTACATTGAATGTAAATTATTACTGTAATTAAGCTCTGTACTGTCCTCGACGAAAGCCCTATGGATCTCTAAGATTGACGCAGCCACCGCTGCTGAATGGCACATCTGAGATTGCGGTTCATCTGCGCACGAGACTTAGAGGCTACCGAATAATGGACGTTGTATGACATAAATGTTAAAGAGGGGCGACTGGAGATTGGACGATTTATAACTGGTACGAGGACCGTGAGAAATCCGGTGTTTCATTCAAATTACATACGCGCCTAGTTTTTACACAAGCTGGAGGAACACACTGACAACACCACTGCTTGCAACGGTGGCATCAGCACAGCCATTGCACAACCTGCTTTCCAGAATAAAAACAATCCGAAACACGAAAGGAATTGTAAAAAAAAAACCTTCACACAGTGGTGGGTGGAATCTCCACCACAAACCATCGCTGAAACACAGATTAGAAATGATGTTAACAGGGAATTAGCTGCTTGAAGAGGGGAATATTTAAGGGTGCGGAGAGTGAGCGAGAGAGTAGGATTGGTTTAGATGTTTTACATGGAGAACACCTCCAGGATAGACTGATGGGCCAAATCGTTCGCTCGTGACTGTATAATTGGGAGCTTTCAAATCCAGAGTAACTAACAATAGTTAACCCCATGTGATCTGTTCACTGCTTGATATGATAACGCATCAAATTTCACAACAATACGGTGTCAGAAGGCACAGGCAATTCATACAATGGTCATTTTTCAATACTTTGTGTCTCAACAGATGTTTAGTCCGGTAGTGCATTACAGATTGTAGCTTCTGGTCTGGATCATTAGAAGTTTGGCTAAAGAAGGCCCTTTGACCCACGAGATCCGATCCTCCCAGAATATCCACCTGACTAAAGCTTACTTTTTTTGGTGGGGAAAAGAAATTGAACCCATAGGCGGTTGAAAAGGATGTCACTGAGGCAAACAGACAGCGGGGCCACAGCAAGAGAGAATGTCTGAGAAACACACGCAGAAGTAACAACAACCACAGCACTAAACATTTAAGATGTTTTTTAAGAACATGATGCAAAACTTCCTGTTGTATAAAAAGGATAATAATCTTTGCATTTGATTAATTGCCGGTAACATTGCAAAGCCACAATAGGTAATTACTGTGGAGTGGAGTGACTACGTTTGTGGGCAAACATACAGTCATTGTACAGTCAGTTGTGCACAGCAAAGTCCACAACAAGGTGAATGATCAATTAATCTAGAAGATTGTTGTCCAGGACACTGGGAGAAACTTTTCCTTTCTCTTTTCATATGACTAAGGGTTCTTTAACATCCATCTCAACAGGCAGGTGGGAGCTTGGCTTAACATCTCGTCGAAAGGACACCATCCCTGACAACACAGCTCTTTTTCTTCAGCAAAGCTTGCAATAGATGCACAGTGTCCGCTGGTCCCAGTCACATCCTCTCCTTCCTGAATTTTTCACAACAGCCTGGATCCAGAGTGAAATTACACCCCGACTTGCGCTTCTTTTGGCAAATAGCACTTTGAAATGATAACACACTGCTTTACTGATCAGACTGCGGTTTTAGTCAGTTAACAATATAACAGTATAATGTTGTCAGTGGCATCATGTTGCTCTCTCCAGTGTAGATACAAGGATCATTATCCAACGACATAGCTGAGCAGCTCTCATTAACGTTCCTCATTGTACACCCTCTAATTACAACTCTCGGTTCATTACTTATTTACACAACTATTGACTAAAGTGTTTACATGTAGATGTACACTACTTAGATTGCACCAATAGTACTGTTTAACAACAACAATTACACATATAGACCCTTTCATGTCAGGAGCGGTCTCAGGCGTCAAACAGCTGATTGGAGCTGGTGGAGGGGGAGCAGGTGACCTGAAGCGTGTTTGAAAAGATAAGTCTTAATGCGGGGAGGGGGCAAGGCGAGGGATTCCAGGATGCAGTTTCCAGAAAGAGGGGACAGAATGGCTCAAAGTTCACTGGATCAAGCGGTGACATAATAATAATAATAATAATCCTTGCATTTGATATAGCGCTTTTCACGTCGGGAGGACGTCCCAAAGCGCTTCACAGAACACACTGTAAAGTGATTTGACTGTATATTTGTGGGCGAACGCGGCAGCCAATTGCGCACAGCAATGTCCCACAAACAGTCGTAGATTGAAAATGACCAATTTATTATTGTTTTTTGGTTTTGGAGGGATTATTATTAGGCTCTGTGTGGAGTAAGGAAACTTGCCCAAGGTTTCGCCCTCTGCCTGGAATTGAACTCAGGTCTCTCGCTTGCAAAGCGAGTGCTCTAACCACTGAGCTACAGGACTCCACGACATAAAATAGACTGAGCAGAGGGAGTATCCGGGGCAGTAAAGTCCCGGGTAAAACGTGGAGCGAGGTGAGACTTGGAAGTGCGATCGAGGATATGATCCGTTGGTGGATGGCGAACCGATGGAATTCAGCAGGGATGGGATGACAGGCTCACACAGTCTGGTGAGAACTACAGTTGTGGACGATCAGCAACTTGTGCAACAACCAACCAACAACCACAACACATTTGTATAGCGCCTTTCACGTCGGGAGGACGTCCCAAAGCGCTGGACAGTGTACAGCATTTCAGACTCAAGCTGGGGTCGGGGGGGGGGGGGGGGTGGCCGATAGCATGGTCGGAGAGGAGGGTCTTGAGGCGGGACTTGAAGGAGGCTGAGGAGGGGGTGAGGCGGAGTGATTGGGGGATGGAATTCCAGAGGTTGGGGGCAGAGGGGCTGAAGGCTCTCCGCCAATGGTGGGTCGGATGGGTCGGGGGACCTGGAGCAGGCCAGAGCCGGCTGAGCGGAGGGAGCGGGCGGGTTGGTAGGGGGTTAGGAGGTCGCAGAGGTAGGGTGGGGCGAGGCCATGGAGGGCTTTGTAGGTGAGGACCAGGATCCGGCGAGGGGGTTGGGAAGTTCTGTGAGCTTGAAATAAAAGCCTAGAAATGACGGTGTGGATGAGGGTCTTGAAAGCCTTGAGTGGGGGTAGAGACGCAGACTGGTAATGTGGGAGAAAAGAGGGAAAGCTGAGCGAGTGAGATTACGGGCGAAGGGTTAGGAGAGTTTAGCGCCGAGAAAACAAAAAGGTGGGATTGTAGGTTTACAGAGGAACTTCAACAACAACAAATTACATTTGTAAAATGCCTTTGACATCAGGAGGACATTCCGACAGTCGGGATCCACATCCGAGCTGGTGTTTGGGATCAGGATGGGGCAGAGAGCGGGGAGAGTAGGGGAAGGAGGGCGGTCGAAGAGGAGGGTCTCGAGTCGGGTCTTGAAGGAGGCAAAGGAGGAGTTGAGGCGGAGGGACTGTGGGATGGAGCTCCAGAATTTGGGCTCATAGTCATCTTAATGCAGCGCTGGGAACCCTGACCGTCCGAGGAGCCGTCCTTTAGATGAGACATTACGAGGCTCGTCTGCCCGTTCAGGTGAACGTTAAGAGATCCCGCTATTCCAGAAGGGAAGGGAGTTTCTCCCGGCGTCATGGCCGGCAATCCCACAAACAAAACTGCTCACTTCTGCCGCTCACAGTCAGCAAACACACAGTCACTACACTGCAGCGCACAGTAAGTACATCGTGTGAAGCGCTTTGAGACGGTGTGAAGATGTGAACAGTTTCTGCGACAAACACATAATAAACGGTTTATTATTATTGTTATATCAGAAAACTGGGAGGAGGCGGAATATCGGGAGCTTGATTCCCGGGGGGGGGGGGGGGAGGGTCTGTTGGGGGTGTGGGGGGGAGTGTTGGGGGTGTGGGGGTGTTGGGTGGTGTTGTGTGGGGTGTGTGGGGGTGTTGGGTGGTGTTGTGTGGGGTGTGTGGGGGTGTTGGGTGGTGTGTGGTGTGGGTGTTGTTGGGCGGTGTTGTGGGGGGTGTGTTGGGGTGTGGGGTGTGGGGTGTGTTGGGGTGTGGGGTGTGTTGGGGTGTGTTGGGGTGTGTTGGGGGGTGTTGGGGTGTGTGTGGGGTGTTGGGGTGTGTGTGAGGTGTGTGGGGGGTGTGGGTGTTGTTGGGGTGTGTGGTGTGTGTGGGGGGTGTGTTGGGGTGTGTGTGTGTGTGTGGGGGGGGTGTTGGGGTGTGTTGGGGTGTGTGGGTGTTGTTGGGCGGTGTTGGGGTGTGGGGGTGTGTGTGTGGGGTGTTGGGGTGTGTGGGGTTGTGTGTATGGGGGGTGTGTTGGGGTGTGTTGGTGTGTGTGGGGGGTGTTGTTGGGCGGTGTTGTGTGTTGTGTGGGGTGTGTTGGGGTGTGGGGTGTGTTGGTGTGTGTGTGGGGTGTGTGTGGGGTGTGGGGGTTGTTGGGGTGTGGGGTGTGTTGGGGTGTGTGTGGGGGTGTGTGTGGGGTGTGGGGGTTGTTGGTGTGTGTGTGGGGTGTGGTGTGTGGGTGTTGTTGGGCGGTGTTGGGGTGTGTGGGGTTGTGTGTGGGGTGTGTGTGTGTGTGGGGTGTTGGGGTGTTGTTGGGGTGTGTGTGTGTGTGGGGTGTGTGGGTGTTGGGGTGTGTGTGGTGTGTGTGTGTTGTTGGGCGGTGTTGTGTGTTGGGGTGTGTTGGGGGTGTGTGTGTGTGGGGTGTTGGGGTGTGTGGGTGTTGTTGGGGTGTGGGGTGTGTGTGGGTGTTGGGGGGTGTGTGGGTGTGTGTGTGGTGTGTGGGTGTTGTTGGGCGGTGTTGGGGTGTGGGGTGTGTGTGGGTGTGTGCGGTGTTGGGGTGTGGGGGTGTGTGTGGGTGTTGTTGGGGTGTTGGGGTGTGGGGGTGTGTGTGGGTGTGGGGGTGTGTGGGGTGTTGTTGGGCGGTGTTGGGGTGTGTGGGGTTGTGTGTGGGGTGTGTGTGTGTGTGGGTGTTGGGGTTGCTGGGTGTTGGGTGTGTGTGGTGGAGGCGTGTTGGGGTTGCTGGGTGTTGGGTGTGTGTGGTGGAGGTGTGTTGGGGTTGCTGTGTGTTGGGTGTGTTGGGGTGTGTGTGTGGGGTGTTGGGGTGTGTTGGGGTGTGTGTGTGTGTGGGGTGTGTGGGTGTTGGGGTGTGTGTGGTGTGTGTGTGTTGTTGGGGGTGTGTGGTTGGGGTGTGTTGGGGGTGTGTGTGTGTGGGGTGTTGGGGTGTGTGGGTGTTGTTGGGGTGTGGGGTGTGTGTGGGTGTTGGGGGGTGTGTGGGTGTGTGTGTGGTGTGTGTGTGTTGTTGGGCGGTGTTGTGTGTTGGGGTGTGTTGGGGGTGTGTGTGTGTGGGGTGTGGGGGGTGTTGGGCGGTGTTGTGTTGGGGTGTGTTGGGGTGTGTGTGTGTGGGGTGTTGGGGTGTGTGTGGGTGTTGTTGGGCGGTGTTGTGTGTTGTGTGGGGTGTGGTGTGTGGGTGTGGGGGTGTTGGGGGTGTTGTGTTGGGGTGTGTTGGGGGTGTGTGTGTGTGTGGGTGTGTTGGGGGTGTTGGGGTGTGTGTGTGGGGGGTGTGTGTGGTGTGTGTGTGTGTTGTTGGGCGGTGTTGTGTTGGGGTGTGTTGGTGTGTGTGTGGGGTGTTGTGGGGTGTGTGTGTGTTGTTGGGCGGTGTTGGGGTGTGTGTGGTGTGTTGGTGTGTGTGTGTTGTTGGGCGGTGTTGTGTGTTGGGGTGTGTTGGGGGTGTGTGTGTGTGGGGTGTTGGGGTGTGTGTGGGTGTTGTTGGGCGGTGTTGTGTGTTGTGTGGGGGTGTGTGTGTGGGGTGTGTGTGTGTGTTGGGTGTTGGGGTGTGTGTGTGTGTTGGTGTGTGTGTGTTGTTGGGGGGTGTGTGTGTGGGTGTGTTGGGGGTGTGTGTGTGTGGGGTGTTGGGGTGTGTGTGTGTGTTGGTGTGTGGGGGTGTTGTGTGTTGGGGTGTGTTGGGGGTGTGTGTGTGTGGGGTGTTGGGGTGGTGTGGGTGTTGTTGGGGGTTGTGTGTGTGTGGGGGTGTGTGTGTGTGGGGTGTGTGTGTGTTGTTGGGCGGTGTTGGGGTGTGTGTGGTGTGTGTGGTGTGTGTGTGTTGGGGGTGGTGTGTTGGGGTGGTGGGGGTGTGTGGTGTGGGGTGTTGGGGTGTGTGTGGGTGTTGTTGGGCGGTGTTGTGTGTTGTGTGGGGTGTGTGTGTGTGGGGTGTGGGGGGTGTTGTTGGGCGGTGTTGTGTTGGGGTGTGTTGGGGTGTGTGGGGGTGTGTGTGGGGTGTGGGGGTTGTTGGTGTGTGTGGGGGTGTGTGGGTGTTGTTGGGCGGTGTTGTGGGGCTCTGCACTGGAGCTGCAGTGAGTCTGTGATGATGATGAAGATGATGATGATGGCGGTGCTCGGGGTCGCGCTGTCACTCACTGTCTCCCGGAGGCTCAGGGCCGCCCCGCGCGCTCTCTCTCTCTCTCTCTCTCCCGCTGCCCCTCCGCCTGTTGCCCGCGGCCTGTCCCGGTGTCCGGTGTCCCGGTGTCCGGTGTCCCGGTGTCCGGTGTCCGGGTTGACCCGCGGCCCAGTCTCGGCCTCTCCGCTGCTCTCCGCCGCGGTCTCGGCCCTCGCGGCTCCGCGGCAACAAGTTCAAAAACGGCGCGCGGCCCCGGCACTGCCCCCGGGAACAGCGCCACCAGCGGCGGCCCCCGGCACTGCACTGCACTGCCCCCCGGGCACAGCGCCACCAGCGGCGGCCCCCGGCACTGCCCCCCCCCGGGAACAGCGCCACCAGCGGCGGCCCCCGGCACTGCACTGCCCCCCCCGGGAACAGCGCCACCAGCGGCGGCCCCCGGCACTGCACTGCCCCCCCCCGGGCACAGCGCCACCAGCGGCGGCCCCCGGCACTGCACTGCCCCCGGGAACAGCGCCACCAGCGGCGGCCCCCGGCACTGCACTGCACTGCCCCCGGGAACAGCGCCACCAGCGGCGACCCCCGGCACTGCCCCCGGGAACAGCGCCACCAGCGGCGCCCCCCGGCACTGCCCCGGGAACAGCGCCACCAGCGGCGCCCCCCGGCACTGCCCCCGGGAACAGCGCCACCAGCGGCGGCCCCCGGCACTGCACTGCCCCGGGAACAGCGCCACCAGCGGCGGCCCCCGGCACTGCACTGCCCCCGGGAACAGCGCCACCAGCGGCGGCCCCCGGCACTGCACTGCCCCCCCCCGGGAACAGCGCCACCAGCGGCGGCCCCCGGCACTGCACTGCACTGCCCCCGGAGGAGAGGACCTGCCCGCGTTGCCCGAGTTCCGGCCCAGTTTCTGATCGCGAGGACCTTCCTCTTGTGCCCACAGTCGCCCCCTCCCTCCCCCCTCCCTCCCCCCCCTCCCCCCCGTCTTGGCCGCAGGTTCCACCCCCGTTAATCGCTCCAATACACGACTCCGCGCGATGGACTTCTGCGTAAGTGCGAATTGTTGTTGAAAAGTTGGGATTCTTCCCCTGGAACAACAACAACAACAACAACAACAAGAAGATTCCATTTATAGAGCGCCTTTCACGTCGGGAGGAACAAAGTAGATTTAAGAGGGAAAACCTTGACAGAAGTGTCCCCGTCTGTGAATAGTTTGGTCGTGCGGAGAAGAAAAAAAAAATCCTTCCATTAAAAGGGTGACGTCTGTCACGGCGGAGAAAGCACCAGCGGCGGAGCAGACACCAGAGGGACACAAACCGCTACACGTGGATGAAGTGCGCGGCGGCTCTTTTGGAAACGCTGTAAATTTTCTTGCGATGGGGGCGGGAAGCAAAATACTTGTTCATTGGCGTGTTTGCCGTCGTTGGGGACCTCTGCTGAACCTTCCAGTGAACCATTAAGTTGACGTTGAGCACATTTGAAAAAACAGCTGAGATTTATTGATTAGCTTTGTGCAATATTATAGGCTATTGCGCACTCGTGGTGGGCAGCGGTAGAACATTATTAGAAATGGGTCATAGGAACAGGAGGAGGCCATTCAGCCCTGCGAGCCTGTTCCGCCATTTAATTAGACCATGGCTGATCTGTACCTCAACTAATCCTTTCAATTCCAATTTCTCACTTTCTCCCCATATCCCTTGATATCCTGACCTACCAAAAATCTATCAACCTCACTCTTGAAGGTGTGGATGGATCCAGAATCCACGGCCTTTTGGGGGAGAGGATTCCAGATTTCTACCACCCTTTGAGTGGAAACATCCTTCCTGATTTCACTCTTAAATGGCCTAACTAATTCTAGTTCAATAGTTCTGGGGTCCAGAACTACTGTATCCTGTGTAGAAAATGGATTGAGAAATGTGCTGAGAAATCAATTGGGTGGGGATTGAATAAATAACCGTACATAGTAAATGCAAGTTGTTGTTGAGGAGCAAGAAGGGGCTCGTTGTGCCCAGTGTTACTTTCTTGTTTCTAAATTGTTCCTAATAGGAATTGCACGAGATGTGCTGCCCGAGTCCTCACCATCCCTCTGATACGCACTGCAAAGCTTCACAGCAATTTTGACTCTGAACTCTGTGGAATACAAAATACAATACCAAGTCGATGAAATGGACACATTGCTTACATTTTTTTGTATTGCGTCTTTCATGTTGCGAAGAAGTCCCAAAGCGCTGCACAGGATTTACTGTGAAGTGGATTGACTGTGCATTTGTAGGCAAACGCGGTGGCACAGTTTGCGACAGCAATGTGCCCAAACAGCCATATTCCATGAATTATAGTGAAAGATAGACTTACAAAAGGAATGAAGTTCACTTTCTTTTATTAATAGTGTTTTGAATTCAGTGATACATAGTTATTAGTGCACAGTTTGTTCACAGAATCTATTCCCTCAGCAGATTATAACTCCTTATTACACACGTCATTGACGACAGCATGGCTGAAGGCTAAACACAAATCATTTGCTGACTGGTAGTGCCTAGAGCTCGAACAAATATAAACTTAAAACCATAATTTTCCAGAATAATATCTGAAATATTTACCACAAAGAAGGTACTTGCCTTGCCCCACAATGCACATACGTGCAGATGTAGGAATGTAAATACCCTGATGGTTGGTTAGTTGCACCACATTTCCTGGTAAACACATTTATTATCAAAGGTCCTACACTAGAAGCACATGGAGATATTCAGAAATGTGCTCGTCTAACTAAACATTATTCAGTTGACCAGAAATGTTTTTGTGCAAATAAATAATAAAGCTCCCCCTTTACTAACACTTCTGCTGACTATGCAATTCTACCAAATCCTTATGAAACAATAGTGAAGCTGGAGTGAGTGCACATAATGCACAAAACGTTTCCTTGATGTACATTCAAAAATCTCAAGCTAAATCAATCTTCAGGTTACGTTCACATCAACCCCAAATAGCTCCTTCTGCCATCCTACTGCCCCTCTCAAAACATAATAGAGTAAGCCAAGAGCTCATACTTGTTAAATGGCTGCTTATAATCTTTACAATAAAAATTTAATTAACTGGAACATGATTTAGGTCTGCTACAAGTCTTATATTTAACAATAAGCATATGAAATACTGCAGTAAATATCTCCAGCTGTCAGAAATGTCAAGCCTCCTTTCATAATGCTGCATAAAAGCAGTTGTTATTTTAGCAAACCTTGCAAAATAAGTCATGATTAGTGTTATGTTACATAAAAAAATAATGCATTGTGGCTAATGTGTTCATTATATCTTAACATGGTTAACAATGGTGTTTTTTCTAAGGTCCGTAAATACGTGTTGTGAGAACGAGATAGAAATATCAGATATTTGTTGTATTAAAGTGAAAACATCCTTTTTGTATTATTACCTAAATCTATGGAACTTAAAGAATAACAAAGGAATGCATGAATGATATCCATGTATTGAATTCAAATCAGATTTTCTCGGCTGTTTTTCTATGTTAAATAAATGGTCATTCTCACAAGAAATATGAGAAGCAGAATGCATAAAATAAAGTCTTTTTTTAAAAAAAATTATGCCTAAACACTAATCTAATGCAGATTCCAATTTTATAATTGTGGATCATATTTGCCAAAATAGTTTTTAGTAGTATTGAAAAATGAGAGTGTATATGTGTGAATCCTTTGTAATTTAATTAGAACTATTGTAACATGGCTGTTCCTATAAGACAATGACATCTTTGACATTTGGGTTGAATTCCAGTGGGCAATCTGCATATTTTAGTGACAAAAAAAGCGCGAGCAAAGCCCCTTTGCTCACAATTCTCCTAGAATTGGATAGTAGAGAGTTTTATGCTGAACAAAATTTAGCCCGAAAAACATTATAGAAGGAAATTACTATTTACATGATTAGCTCATAAAGTCCAACTCCCATTATAGGACATAGAGGCAAACACTTAGCTTACAAAACACAGCTAAAGCCACAGGGCAGCTATCTGTAAGACTGACAGTTTGCCGAGAAATGGTAAAACAGAATCCAAGTAGTATATAAATCATAGTTTCATTGTACAGGGTGTCCACAAGTCCTCTTACTCCATTACAAAACAGTGATATGAGACTATCAGGATCTGCAACAAGCTGTCAAGCTGTCAGAGATGCATTTCACCTTGTCACTGCATCACCTTAAGGAACATGGCGATGGATCATAATCTGCCATGAAAATGATGGCCCTCACACAAAACAATCCTCTGGCCATCTTAAATACAGTTAAATATTTGCATTGAATACAATTAAGTAATTCTATATACAACTACCATCATTCTTCTACACGTTTCAGGTGTTGGTCAGTGCCATGTAGGAAACATATGGGGTAACAGGATTTTGTTAACACCCTGTAAACCAAATGTAAAACTAGTCTAAGGACAAACCAAACAGTTCTATTTGTTCAGCAATTTCACAATACATCATTCCCCACCTGTTCAAGATTCCAGCTTTTTGTTTGTGATTCAACATAATTATTGAAGTAATTATTATCAGCGGAGAGAAATTCTAATGTACTTACTTCATTCCAGAACATTAATTTATCTGAGCCAATACATTTTTCATGAGGAAAGTGCTATTGAGAGGGGTTTGATTTTGCTGCTCAACTCTGTCTGCTAAATGACAATGGCTACAATAATAATCCTGAGTTAATGCAGATTTTTCTGAATTTAATAAGCAAACTCTGATAGTATGGCCAAAAGCACCTCTGACTGACTCTGTCACCAAGGTCCTGACTGCTCCTGTTAGCCTGTTCACTAATGGTCTCAGTGTCTCATGAATCTCCCTCAAGAAAAACCTACTAAAAAAAAAGTCGTTAGTTAAGGCAAAATTATGGACTTAATTAAAATACGCTGCAGGAAACTTGTTGCTAGAATTTCCGATAATGCCAAGTCTCAAATATTAAAAATGCTTTTACAAATCCGCTATTTTACATAGTAACGGAAATGTTCTCTTAAAGTCTCGCAACAGACAAGAAACTATGCTGACGCAGCCTTATACATTTATACATTTGGTTCAACTCAAGTATGCTAGTATGTTAAAGCCATCAACAGAATTACTACTTGCATTTCTGCTTTGGTTTGTTTAGCTGAGCATCTATGTTGCAATGTGCAGCTAGAGTTAAATAGTTAATGTTACAATGACAATTTTTTGAAGTTGAGATCAAACAGGACCACAACTAAAATGACCTGGCTGCTGTTTGTGATATTTTAGTGAGACTGGGCTATACTAGAGAAATACTCCAGAATGTCCTGTATTGTGAACTCCATTATAATGCTAGATCCAGGATAACAACGACCTATCAGACCCTCAAAGTGTTTGTACTGCCGAATGAACTCATCCTGCATGGAATGCCACACAACCTGTGGGGATAAAGAAATCACCATCAGCAAAGGGGGTCAGGATTTTACACAAATACCAGTCATTCATTAACAGGTTACTGCCAACATAAACATTTATAGAGTAGTTTCAAGGTTCTTATTATTTATATGAAAGGGATTGATTGGCCTGATTGATCTGGTCAATATCCTAAAGATTTTAAACACCAGGAGACATTAGTTGATAACTTACGTTATCAATTACTAGCGCAGATCTATGGGTTCACAAGGCGACTAGACAGGCTCTTGGAAAGAAAAAGAAATGAGGGATATGATGAAAATAGTTAGCTAGGGTTGAGTACTAAGTCTTTTCATGTCCTAACAATTCCCATGCTCTTTTATTTATAACTTTTTAAATTATTACCGCCACCTGGATACATAGTAGACCGCAACATATCTGCACACCAATTATCTGGTTGTCCACTTGTTTCACTTCCAATACAGAAGCAAACTTGGGAGCTGTGAGATGCTCCAGTTGTGCGTATATGCACAAGGATAATAGGACCATGTGAGCCAGTAGTGTGAAGTTAAGTGCTTATTTACCAATCTATAATAATAATACTTGCATTTGATATAACGCATTGTTGAGACATCTCAAAGCGCTTCACAAGATACATTGTGAAATGACTGTGTATTTTGTGAGTGAAACATGGCAGCAGCAGGATGCGAGATGGGGAGAGAATCAGACAAAGTATCAGAGAATGTCCAAGAAAGTGAGAGGCAAAGAGTTTAGAGATACGCACCTCAGACAAGAGGAAAAGAGATGAGGTGAGAGAGCGACTCGGAGGGAAAAAAAAGTCAGAGAAAGAAAGCTAGGAAGAGTACATCTGTGGTGACAGTACATCTGATGGAAGAATGTGTTGGTTAGCAATGTAGCCAAGTTGTATTTTGTATGATTTCCAATTATCTACAGTGGCCGCAATTAAATGTTTAATATCGGCTCTCTGTTGTACACTGTATTGCGTAGGAAAAATAAAGAAATAAAAAGGCTCAAAATGTCTAAACAGACAATTTACAATATTTGGATAGTATGCATAATTATAATCTAAGAGAGGCTACGTGTAGGAGACAAGAGGGAGTCAGTGAATGCTCCTATGAATGCGTTGTACTATAGTACTGATAACATTAACGGTCATTCTCTTCATGGTAAGTTTTGAGACATTGCAGTATGCAAATTGGTTGCCATGTTTGCCCACAAAATACATCAAGCCACTTTACAGGATATCATGCAACATGCTTTGAGACCTCTTCCCAACATGAAAAGGCGCTAAATTAAACGTAAAGATTACCGTTATCACATGCTGTATTGGATCTCATTGTATCAGAAGTAATGGACATGATCTTATTCTTGTACGACTATTCCACTCTGCACAAGCTTACCTGCAGCAGATTCTCCTCCTCACAGAGATGCTTATCCACCTTCTTGTACAGGTTATCCAGCCCCTTTTTGACTTCCTTTCCAGGATATTCTTTGATAACTTTACGGAGTTCTTGCTTGTTGAAAGCTAGTTGGTAACTGACTTCCTCCTCTCGAATACCTTGTGCCACACGAGCTTCGATGCCTTCAAAGAAATGCTGAATCCACAATAAAAGTTAGTTAGTCCTAGAACGTGAACACACTGTGTACAATAACAGTCAGTTACACACTCTTACTTCATCAAATGTTTCAAGAATAAAATCATCCACTGAAGCATTTCATGAAAGAAACAGTCACAATTTAGATAAACAAGCCAACAAGAACATTAATAGTTGAATAAAAAAATGCCACAGTCATTTTCCGTTTTTAAACAAAACATATGCTGTCCTTAGAGAACTCTTACCAATTTCAGATTTGCAGAGGCTTAATTGTATTGATTTCTAGTGAGGTAAAGGAGACTCACGTTAAGTTTCTCAAGCGGTTGTCCCAGAGAATATATGACATAAGCTTGCAGGTACTCTGTATATTTCTGTTTTGCTTCCTTTCTCTCGATTTCTAGGCAGGCGATTTTGAGGCGAGAGAGGGTTGAAAAAATGTGGTGGAAGTTTTCCATCATCACCACATCTCGAGGAGTCTTCTGACTTTCATTAGCCACTTTTTCCACTGAGAACAAGAATAAATGTACCATACCGTAAGCACTACAGTAAAAGCTCTAAAACACCTTGCTCACGTTCAGATGTTATCAGTCCCTCACCGTTGTTGTACACAGCTCGGATAAGCCTGCTGTAAGCCTTGTTCAGATCACCCCTGCGCTCTGCAATTCTGAAGATGGACTCGGCCAGTTCCGCAAACTCTTCAAATCCACTAACAAAAGGCAAGATTCCAACTTTGCTTTTTTTTGATATTTTCACTTCTTCCATCTGCTTAATTTGATTCAACTAAAAGCGTGAAGGACACAAAAGCAAATTAACATTGGAATATTTACAGGATGAAACCTAAAATATAGGTGACCAGTTTAGGATTAATTGCTTTACACAGACCACGGTGAAATACTGTAGGTAGAAAGGACTATGCAAGGTAGATGTGGGGGCAGATTGGGTCAGCAAATTCAAGAGGTAATTAGATAGCAATCTGGCAAATACATTGATTATGGGCTGTTATAGTAGAATACTGTTATAGCTAGAATAATTTAATATTTTTTTTGTAATGAGACCGGCCAAATGGAGGGCAATGGGTGAGTATTCTGGGAGCATGAGATAAAATTGTCTGAAGGGTTTTCTTCATCTTAACCTCTTATGATCTGCAAATGATCTTTGCCTGTTCTGTACAATCCTATGTTCCTATACAACAGTTACAGAGTCACACACAAGTACCAAACTAGTTCATTGTAATGCCATATCAAAAACACACATTTTTTAAAATTTTGATGGTTAAAACTGTGTAACTCATAAAATACGAATTGAATTTTAAGCAAAGATATTGTGGACTTTCTGCTACCAGCACTAGAAGGTGATGAATTTATTCAGGACGATTATATTCAGTTACATTTCACATTTCATGTTTCCAGTTTGCATTTTTCTTAGTTACGTAGGAACAAGGGACATGTTAGGATCCCATTGGATACGTTCCTTTACCATATGAAACCCAACATCATAATGCATAATTTAAGTTAAACTGGTTATTTGGTTTAGATTTTTTTTAAATAGTCACCTACAATGCATTTGTCAAAATTCCTTTTAACTGTCACAAGGACATTTCCTAATGTGGTACTGAGGAAAGAGGCAGGATCCACATTCTCTGCTGTCCAAACATGATGGCTCATCTTCACGAGCATATACAAGGAGTTAAAGCTGTCAATCTTGTCACCAAGTGAAATTAGGTTGTTCAGCTCCGGCTCAATACAGCGGAAAACCTTTATCATCATTGACCGGATAATTCCCGCCTCCTCTTTTCTGCAATGATAAAATATAGATTTTAAACAGATATTTACATATTCTTTTACAATTATTCGTGCCATGACCCCGCTTTGCCTTCCCCTACCTCCGGAACATTGCCTGGCTCCGCCACTGTCGCACACCGCAGGTCGCCAAAACCCTCAAACATGCATTCATAACATCCATAACTATTCAAACTCTCTGCTTGTCAGCCTCCCCAACTCCTCGCTCCATAGGCTGCAGATCATCCAGAACTCTGCAACTCACGTCCTCTCCCGCACCAGGCTCCGTGTCCTTATCACTCCCATTCTCGCCCGACTCCACTGGCTTCATCACACAGAGGATACAGTTCAAGATCCTGGTCCTCACCTTCACCTCACCTCCATGGCCTTTCCCCCCCTACCTCTGCAACCTCCTAACCCCGACCAACCTGCCAACTACCTCCCCCGCCTCGCCTGCCCCACCATTGGCGGGTGGGCCTTCAACCACTCTGCCCCCACCCTCTGGAACTTTATCCCATAGTGCCTGCACCTCACCCCCTCCCTTGCCTCCTTCAAGACCCACCTCAAGACCCTACTCTTCGAACGTGCCTTCGATCACCCTCCTTCCCCTTCTGCCCTCCACCCTCGCTGATCCCGACCCCCAGCTCAGGTCAGAAACACCGATTGTCCAGCGCCTTGGGATGTCCTCCCAACATGAAAGGCGCTATACAAATGTAATTTTGTTGTTGTATTCAACCACAAACAAACACTGCACCTGATGTTTACCTTTCTTAACCTCAGTTACACAAACCATTAGTGTGTTACACCATTACAGGCAAATAAAAAATTGCACAATTATTTGAAGTTTTATATACATTTCAAGAAGTTTAAACAAAATAAAAAATTCAGGCCTAAATTACATCTCATAAGTTATTAGAACCCAAAAGTGTATTAACAAACATTGGGTTTAATGTCTTGGATCATTATTATTGTTATTATTATTGATCAAAACACAGATCCCAGAAAGATTACTCTGATGTTGAGGACATGATTAGAGAGTCTGCTAACTGAATGCTGTTACTTTCTCTGATGGTGTTACTTACTCTGATGGCACAGAGTGTTTATCTGCCAAAGGGTTTTGTTGTCGAGATAGGATTCCCCCGTCCATCTCCTCAGAGTCCACCTATTATGAATAAAAGCCAGATTCTAGTAACCTATACGTCAGAGTGTATATTCCATTTCAAAGACAGTTACTTTATTGTTGGCTTGGGTATGTGTCAGCCTGGTTCAGTTGGAAACACTGTGAGTCAGAAGGTTGTAGGTTCAAGACCTGTATCGGGATTTTGAGCTCACGAGTCTATGATGGCTCCAGAGCTGGGAGAGTATTGCATTGTTGGAGGTGCCAGAATTATAAAATTGAGACAGTTGTCTATACACTAATAGTTAGACTGAATTCTACTTCAGAAAGTTAATTGTCTAATAAATAGACATAGCAATCAGATTGTTACAATGTCACATTGTACTTGTACAACTGTGCTTAGGGTTGCTGAAGAAATCTGTAAACATGAATAATTTTGGGAGATTTTCTATAATCTAGCAAAAATACATTTTCATTGATAAAGTAAATTTTATTATTTTACAAAATTCCAAACTAATTACAAAAATATGTCTTCTGGATTGTCTGGTTGCCATGGATACAGGTCATTAGCAATTCATTCTAACACACACGCACGCACAAGAAATGACATCCACGGCAGCCATTGTTGACATTGATAACAAATACAAATTGAAAAAATTAATTAAATTATAAGTTGATAAGATCCCACAAAAATAATAAGAAAATCTGGCTGGCAGGGGGTGAGCAGTGATGTTCCACAAGGATCAGTATTTGGACCATTGTTGTTCACATTAATGATTTGGACTCAGGAATAATCTCGAGAAATTTGCAGTTAGCAATGTAGCAAGTTTGTATTTTAATGATGACCAATTATCTGCTGGGTTTCCTTATCCACGATGGAACTACTCGAAAGTAGAGAGGATAATCGTCTTTTTTCTATACTGTCAGTAGTTGACTACTTCCATTAATAGCCTCATGAGCATCTAGTCTACTACAAGGTTCAACATTGAGCCTTATTTTATCCAACAAGCAAATGGTTGAATTTTTTTAGGGTTAGGCTTTGTGTGCAATAGTAATGAAGTTGCTCACACTTCTAGTTAAGTTACAATATTGAAGGAAATTATTATACAAACTATCTTAAATGACAAGACAATCTTTAATGGTTTTAATCAACATCAGGAATACAAAAGGAAACATGAAATCCATAAGTAACTAATCCACTAAATTTCATTTTAAACTTCCGATGGTATTAAAAATGCTGAACGGTCAAAACAAATTCCCTAATGCATCAATGAGAAATTCAGACGTACTGCAGGAAAAAGTAATGTTGCAGTAATATGGCTTCATCAACTAACCATAAGTAGCTTCAAACTTTAAAGTGCTTGGCAAAGGTTTTGTTTGTGAAGCAATTTGACATAATGATGTACTGCACTGGAAGGCCACGAACACATGATGAAAATAACGGTTGTCTTTTTCCCTCCCTTCTCAGGTAATAAAGACTATGGCTCTTTTTAACAAACCAAAGATTTATCAATAAAATGTAAGCATATCATACCATTATTGTCCCCAGTAAAGCAGGATTCTGTTGTAGCTTGAAGAATTTGCTGATGAAATCTTGCTCAGCCAGACAAAGGGGCTCCAACTCACTCAGGACTTGCTCAAATATCTACACAAAGAGAATCAATGTTGAGTATGAGGCAACCAAGTTGGATCTCTTCTATAATGGTCTACAGAACTAAACCGATAAAATCAGAATATACCGTACAACTCTTAAGGCAAGTTTCCTTACACTACCACTGTTTACCTAGCAGAAAGTAGGAACCTGGCTGTTAGTCAATCTCCAATTGCTTTTCCGGTGGTATTAATCCCTTCAAAAAAATGAATAAAATAATTATAATTTGGTCGCTCAATGACTGTGGGACACTGCTGTGTGCAATTGTTTGCTGCGTTTCTCCCACAAAATATACAGTCAAGTCACTTTACAATATACTCTGTAAAGCACTTTGAGACGTCCAGATGAAGTGATGAGGCACTCTATCGAATACGATTATTATTCCAACACTGTTGTATTGGAGTCTGTCCAATTCTAACTTCCAAGCACGTTTCCCGATTTGCATAGTGGCCTATCATCCCATAAGTACAAATTAATCACACTGTTTGCATATTATCATCATCTTATAAGTTGCATAGCAAGACTCTAGCTCTGAGCTTTATGGATAATAGATACATTTACAGTTAAATAAATTTTTTTAATGGTTATTAATCCCGAACATGCATGTATTTTTTAAAATACCAACTGTAACATTTTGTGGTAGACTCTGAGCACCGCATCTAATTTTTGTCTCAAGTTGAAAAAACATGTGTGCCTTGGGGAAATTAATGCACAAAGTAATAAATTCACCAAGAAGTTGAATATTTCCATCGCTCTACATAGAGGGATGGTGAATTTAGTTTATTGATAAGACTGTTTGTTACCTTATCAAACTTAGTTCTGTCGGCTACATCGAGGTCCGATGAGGACATGTTTCCCATGTCCAGTAAAGAGGACGATTGAGAGCGACGGCTTCCTGCTCCCTGCACAGTCAGCTTGTTGAGGCTGGAGGTGGAGCCAGTAAGTTTCCCAGAACTTCCATGAAGACCTGTAGTTCAACAATCTAAATGAATAACGGCAACAACTACTCCGATTACTAGTGCCAATTAGTTGTACAGGATTTAATTTCCAGTGAAATGTTCAGACCTGATTTATTTTGCTAAAAACAGAATACTTTATCTAAAACCTTACAGGAGGATTCAATTTAGATAAATTGTTGGTTTACATATTTACTAGGTTTTGTGAATAATTTCTCATTTCAGTCCACTTAAATCTGCAAAACAAGTTGTTTTGTTTTTCTCTCAGGAGTAAAGTTATTTATTTCTTGGGTGAACAGGAAAGATATGTAGATTAAAAATAATGCTCATGATGAAGCACAATCCTACATTCACCCACTTTCCTTCCGTTCTCTCCTTCCCCACAAATTCCAACTGTTGGAACTTGGTGAGAGAGGAATTGAAGACTGAGCATCTTCATAATATCAAACCAGTTCATCTGAATTGTTTTGCTTTTTTCCGTTAAAAAAAAGTCTGCAGTATGAAGCAGAAAGCAGGAAGCATAAACAAAAGGCCGTTGGCTACCCATTACTCAGATTATACAGACTAACTAAGGCATTAACCCAGCAGTTCTTAAAGCACCAAATTATTCCATAAACATTTAGAAGTAAGCTGTTTGCAACACACACCGGAAGGAAATATTTCTTCGTCAGAAAAGCATTGATCGACTTTTTAAGCTACTTGAAACCTTGTACAAAGCTCGGAGCAAGAGGGTACTATCTAATTTTATAATTTTTTTAGTAAAATCAATGTTAACATTTTCCTGTCAGTAAAGACTGGAGTGAGTGATATTAGAAAGCAGTTTGATGAAGGAAGCAGTACTCACTCTCGGGATCCTGTTTGACAGCACTCTCTTTTCGAGGAAGCGTAGCTGCATGGCATTAGATAGCAGGCGTCAAAAGACAAAGACAGGTTAAATAATATGCCGGTAGCACACACCGTGCAGATGAAGGATGTTAGTTAGGTGCTAGCCGAGAAATACATACATGCGAGCATAACATAGCTACACTTGTGTTATGTTATTCTGTACAACAGCCAAAGCATGCGACTATAAAATACACATTATTCTTTCATGGTTCCCTCTACAGGATCACAATCCTATTTTCACTGAGATTGAAAAAAATTCTTAATATTTACACTGACTACAAAATACAATCACTGCTTGAAAAAATCTGCTTTGAGATGATCTCCTGGTGTGATAGGCATAATATCAAATGAAGATTATTATAAATTATTTCTTATTATTGAACAGTCTCCTCAACAAATTGCATCTGACGCAATTTCAGATGTGCAAATTTGACAAAACAAACTTGACGTTCTTACTGTTTCATTTTAAAAGAATTCTTCACAATAAAAGCTGTCCAAGGATTTCACTTTATCTATGAACGTTAAAACTCTAGGATCTCAGCCAAAAATTAAATTCTCAAAAGGTAAGTGAAACTGAGCATCAGTTACACAGCAGAAATTATAATTTAAGTAATAGTATCAGTTACAATCCAGCCACATTAAGATTGTATGTTTTTTTCTGATTCCACAAACATAGAATTTATTTTAAAATAATTAGAGTGATTAAGAAAATGACATGATAAGGTGTTATATCAAATGCAAGAATTATTATAAGGGTGTTTTGACAAACTAATTTTGAAAATCTGAAATCTTTTTAAAAAAAACTACAATTCAAATATTACCATGAAAGTTTAATGGATGAATGTTTTCAATGGTTTCAACTATTTATTTTACTGTACCTATAAATAGTTATTGTATTCATGCAGGAAACATTGCAGTTAAATTACATCAGCAAAGGAGCACAAAAAACTAGACTGACTTTCATGTTGTTGCAAGGGTGAAGCTACAGACAATATTCAAATTTAAAGCCATCCTTGGCAATTGAATCTAGTTAAATAATAAGCATGGTTAAAATTGACGACATAACCAAAAATCTTCAGAAAATAGTTAATAGAAATATTATACTTCCATTCATGTGTCTACTCAAAACTGCTTGCCAACACTAACCTAACGTCTGTAGAACTGGTAGATAACTCTTTTTAGCTGAAGGGTTTTGAATCTAAACTCAATCTGTACCAAACTTTGTAAACTGTAAACACTGTCATTTCTCAGTCATTGAATACCCTAAAATATTGGTATATGGCAATGAAAAGTTATTAGTGACAATTAATTATTTACAGAAATTATATTTGGTAACTTTGACAGTCAAATACACCAGGAATGCAATCCATGTGAAATGCTTTAAACACTTGTCAGTCTTCAGAATCCTTTGCATTTAGCATTGGTCAGCAGCATGAATGGCTCAGCTCACAGGAGAATCAACTTACCAAACTTTTTTCCTTCTTTTGATGTGCCAGTCATTTTGATTTTTGCAACCTCAAAGAATTCCTTAATTTCCCGTTCATATAATCTACATATATAATCTACATAATTCTGTAAAGGAAAAAAAACTGCAAATTTAGTTCTTTAATATATTATGTTGTGCCAAATTCAACTGTGGATTATAAAATATTGCAGTTGCCAATAGGACTTGTGTAGGGCACAAGTCCTATGAGAGTGAATGGTAAGCATTGCCGAAGGGTAAGATACAAGGTTTTCCTTGACTTGATCATTGGAAAGAGTAGCCCCATGAATGCCTAGCAGCTTTGCCACTCTTTTGCATCCAGCTGTCATTTACGAATAATCATTTGTGTTTGCACAAACAGATGGGCAGGCGTTAAATAGGGTTTCAAATAAATAACAAAAGAAGTAATGAATTTCCTATTTAACAATTAAACAGAATAAAAGACAAAGCATTGGACATAATCAATTATACTGAATCCGCCAACAGCAAATACAGTGCATCCTCATTATAACCCAGGCCAACTACAAGGATGCACATTAAATGGAATTCACATTAAAAATAAATTGGAGCTACAGTGAAGAGTGTTATTAACAGGGCTGCATTCTACCAGACACCAAAACTAGTTCAAGGATTACAAAACTGGACAACAATACAAGTAACTGAGTGTATTATTAGTTCATATCAGACAATAATACCAATACTGTGTTTAGTAACAACAAATAACACACACCAATATAAGAAACATAGTTAATTCAAGGATATTAATTCCAAGTTTAATATGTATTGTTTGATGTGGAGAAAACGCAACTCAAGAACAGGAAAGGACATGCCAATTAAGAACTGGGTTGAGGCTGTGTGCTAACTGACAAATTAATTAAATTCCTAATATTCTTTTTAATGCTTTGCTTGTCATAAAACTAATTTTACAAAATAGATCAATAATTGTAGTAAAGTAGAGCTTAATTATTTCCCAATTTATTTAATCTTTTAGTGTTTCACTCATATCATAACAGTGCAGAATTAATTTTCAATTTTTTTTATTGAACACTGAAGGGCCTGTAGCTCTAGAACCTGCAATGAAATGTTTGCACATTCATGATTATAAAAGCACTTTATAGCACTGAAAAAAACTTATAAATGTTGAGCCAAAAGGCTTTATTGATCAATTCCGACTTTCAAGTTTTTTTTTAAAAACCATTAAAATGCTTAAGGTCAACCAACCTACTTTGAAGGCAAAAAATAGACAGCTATCTAAAACATAAGAATTTATGACATTGTTTTAATCCCTATTCTGCTTGCCAAAGAGAAAAGGAGATATGGTAGAGAGAGAAAGAAAGAGAGACTCAGAAGGAGAAAAAGGCAGAGAGTGAAAGAGAGAGTAAAAGAAAAAGAACAGTATGTGATTCTTTTATGTGAGGCAATATGGTTTTGCCATATGAATGGCCAGACTGCTCATGGAACGTTCAAAGATACGGCACATGGCAAAAGGAACAGAAAAACCCAAACTTGCTCCTGTGGCTTGGAGCGAGCGAGATCTTTTTACCTTATTCAGACCTTCATACTTCTCATGGTCAGTGTTCTTTAGCCACTCCATCAGCTTTGCATATCTGAGTAGATCGCGATGAAAAGGTTGATGCTTAGGTAGAGTCAGTTCAATCGAGTGTTGAGCCAGGGTGGAGCTCTGGTCATGTCCCTGAAAAATATCAGTGTCAAACACAATCAGTTCAAACATGATCAATTGGGTTTGTGCTTTTTTCCTTCTCCCCTAGTTTAATATTTTCTCCCTTCTATTCCGAAAACAGCCTTCAGCAGGGACCAGAATAATATAAACGATTATGAAACTTTGATTCCAGAATTCAAAGCAAAAAAAGAACAATCAGTCTAGCTATAATATACATAAAGGATGAGGGCATATAATATCTGTACAATATGCCTCTAGAAATAGATGATGGGGTCGAGATCATGATAGTAGTTTGGCTTGGAAGGAACAGGTTTGATAGAACAGAAGCCTTTTCTTAGTCTAAGTTTTAGGTTCTTAATCTGAAGAAAAACAAAATCTTCATAGCAATGCCAGCACACTGGAAGGGATGTTAACAGTGCTTCTGGCAAATAGCCCACGGGTGGAGAGCTATTGTCCTGGAGGTTAGCCAGCACAAGAAGCCGGTGTACTTCTGGTTAGTGTATGTCCACAGGATACCAGTGCTATAAGCAAACCCGTGTTAACAACAACAAATTACATTTGTATAGCGCCTTTTACGTCAGGAGGACATCCCAAGGTGCTGGACAGTCAGCCATCCACACCTGAGCTGGTGGTTGGGATCAGGAGGAGTGGAGGGCGGGGAGGGTAGGAGTAAGATGGTGACCGAAAGCACAGTCAATGAGGAGGGTCTTGAGATAGGTCTTGAAGGAGGCAAAGGAGGGGGCAAGGCCAAGGGACTGTGGGATGGAGTTCCACACGGTGGGGACAGAGAGGCTGAAAACCCGCCTACCAATGATGGGGCACGTGAAGCAGGCTGTAGCTCGCTGAGCGGAGGGAGCGGACAGGTTCGTAGCGAGTTAGGAGTTCCCAAAGGTAGGGGGGAACAAGGCTGTGAAGGGTTTTGAAGGTGAGGACCAGGATCTTGAACTGTATCCTCTGAGTGATGGGAAGCCACTGGAGCTGGGTGAGGATGGGGAGTGATAGGGTCGCGGAGCCTGGTGCGGGAGAGGACACGGGCTGCAGAGTTTTGGAAGGGAGGGGCTATAACAGGGTGACTCTGTATTTGTTTTTTTTGTCCCATTTGATACAAAAACGTATGTAGGCCATTACTGCATGAGAAGTGATCACATCATATGTGTAAATTTATTTCACCCATGCAGTGAAAGAAACTGCCCAAAATTACTTCCCTGTGAACCACTGTGAGCTGAAAACCCTTTGAGGTTTGAGCTGGGTGGTGTCACTTTAGTAGCAGTGAGTTGCTATATGCCTAATCATTCCCAATAAATGCTGCTGAGCTCTATTACATCAGCCGAGTGCAACATTCTTGCACAACATAGTTGCCTCAGTGTAACACATAACACTTGTAGAGGAGTATACATTATTCTGCTCAATGCAAGACTGTCATTCTGAACCAGAACAGGTAATTTGTTCAGTCCATTTTTTAAACTATGTAACTGGCATATATATCATACACTATACAATTTGATAATAATCATGTTCATTGCAAAATATACTGCAGAACTTATGAAATAAAGATCTTCTCTGTGGATGTTCACCCAAACACACAGTAACTACACTTTACAGTATACCTTGTTATACACTTCTGTGCTCCCAACATGAAAGGCATCATACTAGATGTAAGAACTATTATTTTAGTGGTGATTTACACAGTGATTCTTTAACCAGTGCACCCGCATACACTCCTGCACTCTTAAAATCAAAACAAAAGCTTGAAGTGTTAGAGACAATTAATTCTCTCTCATTAGAAACATTTCCCTAATCTCTCGGGGTGGGCAAGCTCTTTTTGTCACAATATTTGCTGTGTTGAAATTGCTGTAATACACATAAATATATAAATTACTGCCTTTCCAAACTAGGAGAGCAGGAAGTGATTACTCTTCCACAAGAACAAGAAACCCGACCTACCCAGAGTTCAAATTTCAAGTTAAGTTGAATCCAGCATTGTGGCTACTGGTTCACTGGCAGTAATTACTTTAATAAAATGAAATTCTTAAAAACACTTTCTGAAACATTAAAAGCAAGTTGCAACAGGCTAGGATTCTAAGTTACTATAAACCATTTTAAAATGTTTATAGTATCTTAGAATGTTATACCACAGAAACAGGCCATTGACCCATCAAGGTTTAGATAAGTCACTGCACCACCAGCAAAAGCAACAGCCATTTTCTTTGCAAATCCACAATAAATTAAAGCAGCAAATTTAGCTGACAGTACAACATATACAATAGACTAGGATTTAGTGCACATTTCATGCGTCATTTCTGAAATCCAAATTTCAACTTGCTAACTGAAATTCTGGCAGAGTTTGGAAGCTTACTTACCCAAATCCAAAGCATTAAGGGCAAGCGACACAATCAAATTTAAGGAAAATCATCACAGCCTGCCTTAAAGGGGAAAATGCATTTCACTGAATCATCAGAGTAATCATAAATATAATAAATGGATGACATCTGGACACTGACTTATTTGCCCTTTTATCAGGGGCATCATAAATTCCAAACAAGGTACATCACCATAGAACTGTGTGGAGCACTCAATTTTTGCTAACACATTAGGGAGTGGTGCACAAACTGTTTGTTCCCCAGCCATCAATTCTAAAGCATAAATCTTTGTAAAATGATGAATAGAGGGCACATTGTTTAAAGTGCACAGACAACTCTCAAAAATTACATGGCAACTGTGTGGGTTCAGTAAAATACATTTAACCTTTAATCAGAAGTAGGTTTTCTGAAGGATGAATTGGCATCAGTGAACTTCCCTGGGAGATTGAAAAATCTTGCTGAGTTAGCTGAACTTACCTGGTTAAAATTACAGAATTCTGGTGCAGTTTCAAAAGTTAAAAAATAGAAGTCACCTGAGGCCCCAAATATTTCATAGTCTTAGCCTCATTTTTTGCTGCACATCAATTGTGCAGAATTTTTAAAAATCTAATTCAATCTTAATGTTCTGCAGTTGTTAAAGAGTGCAACAAAAAAGTTTCCAAATTAAGACTGAATTTAAGAATCTTCCAAAATTCTGCCCAATCTTGCATTTTAAGACATGATTTTAGTCTTAATCATCCTTCAAGAGCTAAGAATATTAGGCATTCAGGCTTAGATTTAAATCCTACACATTAAGGGAAGCCAAAATCCAGGCTTTTATTTATTTAAATAAACTCTTAAGATAATAGGAAACGAGAAATAATTCTACTGTATGCCAAGCAGCATCAGCTATTATTAAGCTTCACAAAGATTTAATCTTTGGAATAATGCAATGCATTTCTACAGTAAGTATAAAATTATAGATTTTAGTTTATTCAATGAATGCTGAGTTTTAAAGCACTAATCTTAATTTAAGATACTCTACCTTTCTCAGGAATGTGGCAAAAATTATTTCATAAAATTGTTGGAAAATATTCAAACTTTGAAAGCTGCATTTAATTCACAAATATTTTTAAAAGCCTGACAAGTAGCAAGGGCTGAAGTATGATCCATGCTTATTGTACTCACAGAAACTGAGTAGTAGGAGGCTCTACGATAGTACAGGGTGAGATTCTGAGTGAACTGATTTAAGAACAAAAACATGAAAAGTGTAGCACAGAACAAAGAAAAAGATAAACAATATAAGATTATCAGTATTGATACAATGACAAGGGCAACCAAATGAACTTGTAGGAGAGCTTGAATAACTGGCTTGAAACACATAACAAAATTAACATCATCAAAGGGTCTAGAAGTCCTTGAAGCTTAGGTTTAGAGAAGATGAAACTTCAAACTGGTTTCAAATGGGTTAAAATCTTGATGAACGTGCAGATTTGTAACAGTATCCAAACCAGCTCAATGCCTTCTGGAATATGCGCGCAACTTATTTTGCCAGTCGGCTTGTAACCTACAAAATACAATCACTACACTTCACAGTAAATCCTGTGAAGCACTTTAAGATGTTCTCCTGACATGAAAGATACTATGTCAATGCAAAGTTATTTTTTTTTAAGCTTTCTTTACAATCATACCAAGGGCTGACCATTTGATTTCATATAATAATCCTTGCATTGATATAGTGCCTTTCGCATCAATAGGACATCTTAAAGCAATTCACAGGATACACTGTATAGTGATTTTATATTTTAATACTGAACAATATTGAACATTGCGAGTTTGCATGACTGCATCATGCTTTCATTTCCACAGTCAGTCTTGCACCTAACTCACAGCGTCACTTCAAAGTGGCTACTGTAAGGTCTATTTTTAATGGATGTGGATTCCCGCAAAGGATTCTTTTGTCAGTTGTCCTTATTTCCACCATGTCAGTTATACTCAGTTCATCAATTATAAAAGATGAGTGTATCCTATTTTAAAAAAAATTTGGGCTAAGGATGTGAAAGTATATCTACTGATTTAAAATATTGATGGGATTAAAGGAAGGTCAAAGTACAGTTTATGTAAGAAGGGACACAGAATGTTTCTTAAGTTCTTCCCAATATAGGTGATTGCCATTGAAATCAACAAGTTAATTCTATAATTCATAAAAATGAATTATTCAGTGTACCTGTTGGACGAAGACATTATTAAGATGGTTGGCAAGTCTCCGAGCAAACTGCTCACGAAGCTCTTTAAACTGCTGTTGCTGCTGCTGCACTGAATGAAGATGACCATGTCCTAAAATTGAAATATAGACAAATAGCTTAATTTTACTTTTTTGGTTTTTTTTGCACAGAACGCATTAACAACACCCCCCATCTTAGCTGTGCGAAAGGATTCTCTCATTTTTATTCCTGGTAAATGGTTACACTTCAAGATTGCATTTAATTCATAGGAGTTAGAAACTGAAAAAAAATATGTGTTATATGTCCTTGATTTTTTGATTCAGGTTGTCCCCACATGCCACACAAAAGTGATGACAACTGCATGCCCAAAGTGATACGCGAAGCTAATTCTTTTGGCACATGGGAAGAAACAGCTACCAAGCTTGCCAAGGCTCCCAGACTGAACCAAACTGTTGTAAACTGATGCAAGTTGTCCTTTTCAGCTATAAACTGAAAACCGCTGGTTTTGCACATGGAAGCCAACTGCAGTAATTAAAAGGCCTGCACAGGTGATAGTCCAAAGATTCAAAGAAAGAATTACACTAAAAAAGGTTGACTATTCCAGCAGAGGGCAGAAACCCTGCTCCAACCACCATCTGTTCTATGTTGCAGATTTTTACCCAATCTATTTTACTTGTCAGCCGGGTTTGCTGATTTGCCTAATCTACTAGACTGGACTATTATAGAAAATGCAAAATACTGGAAATCTGAAACAAAAACAGAAGTGCGAATGGGAGGGAGAGTTGAAGTGGCAAGAAACCGGAAGCTCAGGGTTGTGCTTGTGGACAGAACGGAGATGTTCAGCAAATCAGTCGCCCAATCTGCGTTTCGTCTCCCCAGTGTAGAGGAGACCACATCAAGCAGTGAATGCAGTAAACTACATTGGTGGTAGTACACGTAACTCACTGTCTCACTTGAAAACTGTTTTTGGGCCCTGGACAGTGGTATGGGAGGAAATGAAAGGGCAGGTATTGCATTTCCTGCACTGGCATGGGAAGGTGCCGGTGGGAGGAGAGCAACTGTTGGTGGTGATGGGAGGAATGAACCAGGGAGTCACGAAGGGAACGGTCCCTTCGGAATGCTATTATGGTTTAGACTAAAATGAATCCAAAAAAGGACCTCAAGATTTATCTGCAGCTCACTTCACAGGGCCTCAGGATTGCCACAGTTTGGAAACAACCATTATTCCAAAAAAATTAGTCATTAAGAGCCTAATTTTCCAGTCTGGAGTTCTGAGCTTTTTCTTGAAATTGGGTAATATTGCATAGAATAGTTAAGATAAATTAACTGATCTCCAGTTGTAATGATACTAAGCATCCACTTATACAACTATAGTTACAATACCTGGGCGAAGGGCTATATTCATGCATTGCAAGAGGGCTTCTGCAGCGTTCGTGCATGCTTCAATGCCTTTAGAAGAAGAAAGATCCCCATCTGTGAGGGCTTTAATATGACCCTTGGATAGATCCAAATGATTCTGTAAATGGAAATTAAACACATTGGATCCCATTTCAAACAGTGGAGTCTAAAATATTGCAGTAAGACAGCTTTTATACTTAAAGTTTGAAAAAACAATGTTAAAAATATTGTGCACTACTTCTCTACAATACATATTAGAGCTAAATAATTGCTTTTCACAACTTTTTTTAAAATATGTTTTGACTTACGTTCAGTGGTAATTTATTGCTCCAATCTCAGTTTCCTTCACTTTTTCTGTTCAAACTGCACTGAATACGCTTCTCAAAATCTGTTTCTTCTATCTATTCCTAATAGATTGGCTTTTGTCCAAGGAAGTGCCTCCTGATTAGTTTGCATGTGAAGTGAACGAGAACAGCAACAATATACTGTTGATGGGGCTACTCTGACCAAAAACAGGATTAAAAAAGAGCAGATTTGAATTGAAAAGGCAATTCCAATCTGATGTGTTCGATCACTTTCTCCAAGTGTAAAACTAATAGGACAGCAATAGATGCAGCTTTTTAAAACTTTTTGTAACAGCAGTACACAGTAAAAGTCACACAAAACAATCATATCAGTATACAACGTACTGCAATTTATTCACTGTGTTCAATCACTTCAATTTACAGAATCAAAAATATATAAAGATTTATCTGGTGAAAAATTAGCTTTAATGAACTCTAAGATCTCATGGTTTAATAGTTCACAAACTCACTTTGTCCTTTTTCATTGATCAAGAAGGTTTGATTCAGTTGTGTTGTTGAAGTCTAGGTTATCAGAGTATTTCAGGATAATAGACCACTCCTACAGGATTTAAACTTGTAGAATTGAAGGAAAAAGAAGTTGGGTATAACAGAAAGGAGAGTTCACTTACTACTAGAAATTCTATCTCTTCCAGGAGCTTCAGGTTGTTAGTGTTACTGAGCTGGATCAGGTCGTTGCTCTGTGAGATATGGTCCATTTGCTCTTTTACGCTTTGCAGCATCTCTTCATAGCTGCTCAGTTTATGTTCAATCTGATCCACCTCTTTAAGTGCCTCGTCCAGCAGCTGCATCAGAATATTCACCTGCTTTTCTGAAGCCATGATTGACTGGATGTTGGCCTAAAGATAAAAGGGGAAAAACCACAGAGAAGGTCAGGAGTTTGTACAGTTAACGTAAGGGCTGGTATGATACTTCAGAAATAAGGCAACTCCAAGAATTAATGTAGAAGACAGTACTTAACCATTGAAAAGGTTTTATTATTTTGGTCAATCAATTTTGAGGGCCAAGTACTTACCCTTCACAGGTACATTAATGTGATCACAGGCAGACAACCAGCTTTCAGATATCTACCATTACTGTTCTGTAAAGCAATCTGAGGAGGTACCCTAGAGTAACCCTACTACCCCCCACCCCGCCACCCCTCCCCCCTGAAGTGGCTCATCCATACCAAAAAGCCTCAGCTTTCGGAGGAATAAATGAATAAAAATCACTGCAGAACACAATGTGATCTTCAGATTTCAAACAAACCATATGCAAAATTGTCTCACCTAAAATAACATTATAGTAACTTCTCTTCACATTCTAATACTCACCCCATCCAACACCTGTAGTTCGCTAGAAAGTTTTTCTGCGAAAGCTTCAGCATTTGAGATAGCATATTCACATCCATCCATCATTATCTCTATGTCTTGTTCTTCTTTTGCATTCAGCTCCTGATATTCGTCCAAGGATTCCTCGTCCCCACCAGCCACACTCTGATTTTCACCACTTGGAACAGATTCTTTAGGAAAATAGGTAAAACAATTTCAATTAATCACACTTTAGAATACAGCACAATTAAAGATTGTGTTCCGATTCTAAAGTTTGTAAATTATGTAATTACTGATCTTATTTGGTACCTCTGAAGCTAAACTGAGTTGACAGTAGGGTCCAAAATACAATATTCTCAAGCTGAAATCGAGTTGCTAATTGTAACTTACACAAAACACATGAACTCAAACCGGTAAAAGGGCAGCAAGTAAAACACAATCAGTCCCTAACTGGATTTTGAATAGCAATTTGTTTGGTTTGGCTGGTTTAGGATTGTAAATGCTATAACCTGATATTATCAAATTAGAAAGCAATAATTAACTTCCTGTTTATGAACATTGAATTTTAGGCTCATTTAGCACAGTAGTTTGATGTCGGGCCAAAAAAAGTGATGACTATGGCATAATTGGAATTAATTACTTCTCTTTCTTATTAAGGAAAGAAGAAACCAGACTGGTTACCGGATGCAGATGAAAATAGCAAATAGGAGACCAATAGCTTTTCTTTAGTATCTGCAGGGAAGGAACCTGTACTTTAGGCCTGAATTTTATACCTAAAATGTAGTATAACAAAGTATTCCAAAATCTCTTTTCTTTGATAATTTGCATGAATAAGTGTGCTCTATCAAGGTTTAAAAATAGTGTTGATAAAAGTCTTCTCTTTGCACATATAGTAAATATATTTTTCAAAAAAAATTCAAAAAAGTTGTTTGGAATACGAGTTAATATACAAACAAACATCCCCCCATGTCATTTGTTTATTTTAGGAATCCTGTTTTGTCCACAAAATACAGTTAATTCACTTTACAGTATATTCTGTGAAGCTCTTTGAGATGTCTTGAAGACATGATAAGGCACTATATCAAATGCAAGGATTATTATTTAGCACAATATGTTCCTTCAATTGGGAGGATAAAACACTCAGGTCCACTTATTTATGGCTTATTTTAATGCTATTGAACAATGCGACACAGAAAATCAGCTATTATCTGTCTCTCACAAAAAGTTTATTTATTTCAGGAATCCTGTTAATTACTATTTGTTACAGTATACCACATATTGCTACAATTCTACTGTATAAAAAACACTCATGCACATTACACAACAGGAAATGTGTGTGCATTTTAAAAGAGCATCAAGGGTTCAATGGGTTAACAACTAAAGCCAGTATTTATTAGTATCTTGGTTTGTGCAACATTTCAAGAAGCCCTAGATATGAAAGCCAAAACTAAAAGCAATTAACGTAATGGATTCACACTGTACTCAGGGGTTCAAATAAGTGCAAGGTCCTAACTGCCTACAAAATGGAAAGCAAGTATCAAACTGAAAGGGGTTCGATTGTGGACATTTGTGTACCAAACAGACAATTTCTGCTGGGTGAAGAGCTCTGTTATCAAATTTGGCTTCAACACACGTGGCCGGGTTTGGTATCGAAGCGACCTTCCCAATGATCAACGTGACATTCATCTGGTTTCCTGTGGAATTCAGTATCTTTGAATACAGTCCTGTACTTCAGGACCATGCCCCTTTCCTCCCTCCCTCCCTACCTCCTCCTCCTCTCCCCACCCACCACTACCCTCACCTACTGGCACCGTAGGCGATCTTCAGTATTTCTTGTCGGTAATATTGTTGTTGACGTGCAGGAAATGAGTTTGATAGTTTTAAGTGAGTGCAACAGTGTGCTGCAGATCTAGTATACCCAAACTCTGCCGCGTGGAGTCCTGTAGCTCAGTGGTTAGAGCACTCACTTTGCAAGCGAGAGACCTGAGTTCAATTCCTGGCAGGGAAAAACCTTGGGCAAGTTTCCTTACTCCACACAGAGCCTAATAATATTCCCTCCAAAATAAAAAAAACAATAATAAATTGGTCATTTTCAATCTACGACTGTTTGTGGGACATTGCTGTGCGCAATTGGCTGCCGCGTTCGCCCACAAATATACAGTCAATTCACTTTACAGTGTGTTCTGTGAAGCGCTTTGGGACGTCCTCCCGACGTGAAAAGCGCTATATCAAATGCAAGGATTATTATTATTATTATTATAATGAGAATTAAAGAGGAACTACTTCACCCAGAGACTAGTGAGATTGTGGAACTCGCTGACTGAAGCGGTGCTGGATTCAGATGCAGTCAAGAGGAAGTTAGACCACAAGAGAGAAGGGGAATAGAAGGCTTTGGGAAAGAGTAAGAAGTGGCCGGAGACTCGTGTGGAGTATCAAAAGCTGCTTATACCACAACTCAACGTAATTATTTTTTAAAAAATCTTTAGCACAGAGTTAAGAATCCTATAGTTTAAAACCATTTCTGTGGGTAATACCATTTTCAATAACTATTTTCAATCACAAAAATACAATCTATAAAAAAAAAGGAAGTTTGATCATTTTTGCATGAATTTGCCCAAGTTACTAAGTTATTTTTTGAATAGCTGGTGATTTTATTTTACATTGCGATTACTGAAACTACCTGTATATTTGGAATGTGAGAATTTCTAATTACTTTCATTTGCATCAATTCAGAAAAACCTCAACAACAAAATATAAAACATAAGAATTATTTTAAATACATTTCTGAACTTTCAAAACTTGTACCACATTAACAAAAGCCAGTCAATGATATGGGTAATTCCTATGCGCGAATATAACATCGGGTAATTCCTATCAATGTATGAAAATAACATGGGTAATTCCTATACATTCCTAAAATAACATGGGTAACACCTATGTATAAAAATGATTCTTCCTATACACTTTTTTTTGTACTGACCAGCTCGAATGGATACAAAGTGTGAACCAAACAGATAGCAGAAAATCAACACAGGTTTGTTTGGCCTCCTTTCCAAAATTGTGAAACCAGCTGCAAATATTTAGCACAAGCCTTTTGTGTGGTCTAAGTTAAAATGTCAATAGGCAGCTTCTGACTGTCAAAACATAATAAAAAGTTAAGTCATAAATCAAACGTACAACTCTCAACAGCAATGGTGTGTGGCAGAGGTTGATGCACTCCTGCCAAGTCAGCAAGTGATCTCTTTGGTAAGCAATGGCACTCATGATTGCTATTAGTTTTCAATTTTAATTGGAGTAGCAAAACCTTAGAAAATAGACCTCCTATGGAGATCCTACTTTGAGAGACCACCTTTGATTTTTTAAATGCATCTACTTCACACAACAAGCAGCTTAAATGCTGACTTTTAAAATGATGACTGGATTGGAGGGGGGAAGGTGGGGTAATGAAAGAAAAGATAATTTTTCCTTAGGTCAGCCGGGTGTCTGAAACATGTAGAAGCCCATCACCATGCTGAAGAGTATCCAAACCAAGCTGACATTTCCATGCATCTCACCTACACATGGAAATTCCAGATAGATTGTGGGAATGGAATGCACATTCTCTCCCAGGAGGGACGCTTTCTGCTTACGTAATTCTGGAAAGTATTAAGCGCTACTTAAAGGAACATGTCTGGAGTAATTCCTTAACAGTAAAAGTCCCTAATCCTACAATTGCTTCTTTTAAAATCAGAAAAATACAACAGGCTACTTAAATCATTATTTTAAAGTATTGCTGGTTTGCAGTTGCACCACATGAACAAACGACTTCTTAAATGAAATGGTAAAGTTCAACTTAAGAGGTCAATAGAATCGGAAAGAAAACTCAAAAGCTAATATCCTAACCCTGTATAAGCTTGATACTTTATTCAAGAATGTCTCATAGAGGAGGCTCAGAAAGGGGGAAAAGGAGGAAGCAACGGGATGTAAGATTTTCCAGAAAATATTCTTAAATGTTATTTGAACCCCTGTGCTGCACTTGATGAGAAAGCACACAAATAGCAGAAATGCATTAGGAAGAAAAAAGTAAGAAAATATTACCAACCTTCTGTAACTTTAGGAAGTTCTTTGCAAAGAAAGAATGGAGAAAGTGGGTTAAAGGAAGATAAGCAAGGAATCATAGCAACAGACAGTAATACAGCCATCTAAATCTTTAAAAGGTTCCATATTATTCTGATGTCTCACATCCACCTATTAACACTGGGACTTCAGGTAAAGCAGAAGAAACATTAAAATAATCCTGCCTCAAGTTTACTAAAGAAGACAGACTTAGAAGGCAAATATGAATAAAAGCAATTCAATAATACCATAAAGAGGCATTAATTTGATGGCTCAGCAATTAAAAAGATTCAATACACCACACACTATCTTTTAGCACCATGAAATAAAATACTATATTCTATTACATTTAATGGAAACGTTTCCCTTTTTCTAAATAACCACAAAAATATATTAATGAAAAACTGGACCAGAAGCAGAATTGTTATGTAGAAATCATCAGTATCCCAAAGACACTAGTTATTTTGCAAGCCTGGAGAGAAGTTCAATCTACTACTGATAGATATGTTTTTATAACCTTCAATTTCAGCAGTCAATTTGCATTACCCTAACATGAAACATCCACACAGGAGTGTAAGAAAGTAACTGCACAGAAACCAATCGTGCTCAATGATTCAATCATCACTATACTCAAAACACAATAAGGATTTTTTTGTTCTGGTTTAAATTAGATGATGCGTTCAAATTCTCCATTGAGATTTTTCACATCCATATCAGGACTTACCTTCCAATAATTGTGAGCTAACGTTGACAAATTCAATCTTCTTGCGAAGGTATCGTTGATTAAGTTTCCAAATACAGGAGATAAAAGAATTTTTTTCTGCCGTGCTGCTAGCAACCCATTTATAAACTTTTTCAAAATGCAAGTCAAACTCTGGATTTTCCTGGAAGTATGGAAGACAAGAATTTGGTCAGTCAGAAGTATCACAAATGGAATATTAGAACATCCAAGTTGACGATCAGCGTAGCTGCACTTGAGATCCATTTTAAATATGCCTTTATCTGATTCACTGGTGTATTTAGATTAATAGAAAGCACCGCTGATGCTTTGCTGACTGGTACCCATAATCAGTAAGAGTGGCCTAGATTGCAAACCCATTTAAAATCATGGTGTTATCTCTCTGATAATCACTGTTATTTGCCAAGATGGTAAGAAACACTGCTTAATGATTATTCACTTCTCGCTGTTCCTATGTAATAATAAATAATTCTTGCATACTGTAAAGTGAATTGACTGTATTTTTGTGGGGGAATCGCGGCAGCCAATTGCGCACAGCAGTGTCCCACAAAAAGTCATGGATTGAGTGAGCAATTCATTATTTTTATATTTTCTGAAGGAATTATTACCACCGATCGACTAACGACTGGGTTCCTTTTTAGTGCTACGTAAACAGAGGTGTGTGGAGGAAGGAAACTTGCCCACTGTTTTGCCCTGCCCGGGAATCAAACCCAGGTCTTTCACTTGCGAGGTGAGTCCTCTAACCATTGAACCACAGGCCTCCATATGTACTCCAAAACAAAATGGCTCATGTATCAACATAACTGAGAACTTATTAAAAGTCTAATAATTTACCAGAAGCTGCTGGGTCACACTGAGTTTTGTTAATCAGCAATACCAAAACATGATCTGTAGCTCAGTGGTTAGAGCACTGGGTTCGACCTGGGTTCGATTCCCAACAGGGATAAGATGCTTTTAACAGTAATTTAATAGAGCACAAGTCTCTATTCAGGACTTAAATTATCTCACATCTCACCTTATTCGCATCTTTGGCATCGACCACAGCTAGGTCTCGCAGGACCCACGCTGTCTGGCGTTTGTAGAAGTCTCCCTTATCAGATTTCTTCACTTTCACGACATTTACTTGGATTGGTCGCTCAGTTGTTACTGAAAAGAACCAAACGTTTAAAGGTCAATAATTTTTGATTTTGTGAACATTTCTGATATTGTTCTGGAACAATTAAGAACTTGATTATAATTTTAGTCCCAGTCTGATAGGTAAAATGTCTGATGTTTGAGAACAGTTCATTGTCTTTTTTTTTGCCTGATGGGTATCTCACACATGCAGAAACCCATCACCATGTTTTAAGAGTATCCAAACCAGACAGAGTTCCACGCATGCTACCTACAGATGGAAATGCCCATGCCTGCAATGGGATGTGCACTCTCTCCTGGAAGTGCGCATTCTTTCCATACACAGGAATTTCTAACATGCAACCCTTGACAAGGTCACAAACATTTGGCCAATTATTAATAATTATGAAAAACCTAATTTCCTGCAGCAACCCAATGATTCAGAAGTCAGCCATTTTTAACGTATGAAAAGCCAGCTGGCATTTTGAGGTTTTCTGTACACATGCAGAGAATGAAACACTACCGTTATAACACAAGTTGGGATTTTATGCACACCAGTTATTGTGCTATCGGGCTCCACTGTGGTATGTTTCAGACAGAAGCAGATCATTCCTCCCTCTAGCCAACCCGTCCAACTTCATACAAGATTTATTCAACATCACATACCGCCGAATCCTTTTAATTTCAGAAATTTTCCAGTTCCTTTTTGAAAATCTTTATAGTTCCATGTTCCACCAGGTACTGATAGTTTGTTTCACATACCCTGAATTATTTTATGACAAAACTAATTCTCTACCAGTTTCTATTTGCTTTAATTTATATAATATAGATAGGAACCTGAAGTGCAAAGAGCTCACAATTCACAACAGGCACAGATATTAAGACTTGCTGTAAATTAAACCTTTTGTTATTAATGGGTTAGTCATTTCACTAAGATTAAATGCAACATTGTGGTATTAGGGCTATTTCTAAGATTATAGAACGTACCTGTAGCACACAGAAAGCAGTTTTTCTTTTTCTTGCCTGCCTTGCAGACATTAACAATGCTGAGCAATCGTTCATCATTTGGAGTGAAGATATCTCTTTGCAAAGCATGCTTGATCGCAGTCATTTTGAAAACTGACAAATAAAGTTTTGCATGAATTATCAGTTGTTGTTTTTACAGCAGTAGACCATGTTAAAAACTGAAGACACATTGGGTTGAAATCATGCTTTTTCCCCATCATTGAGTTGTTGATTCATAAGAATTATGAAATGAGCAAATCTGAAGTCAGCAAAGAAGCCTTAATAAATTTCAAGAAGTAATTGCTGTTTGATAAAGTAATTTTGCTGACATTAAGTTCTCACTCAAAATCTTTCATATGTTTGCTACAATATCAAAGTCAAATCCACAAATGTAATTCTAAAACAGATACATGTCAATATCTAAGTACATTACAAATATTAAAAAGTGCCAATCTTAACTCCATGTGCAAATCTGGGTACTTGCAAGTCAAGTAAGATGGAATTCTGCCCTGTGAAAACAACCTGACTAAAAACTACAATAACTTGCAATTACTTTAAAGAGTGTGACTGCGTTAAATGTTCAATCCATAAAAATATTACCACAAATGTTAATGGTCTTGTCACCAGCTCCCAGCCCAGCCCCCACTCCCCCATCCTTGTCACCAGCTCCCAGCCCAGCCCCCACTCCCCCATCCTTGTCACCAGCTCCCAGCCCAGCCCTCACTCCCCCATCCTTGTCACCAGCTCCCAGGCCCCCCATCTCTTGTCACCAGCCCCCACCGCCCCATCCCTGATCATCAGCCCCCACCCCCCAGCCCTGATCCCCAGCCCCCACCCCCCAGCCCTGATCCCCACCCCCACCCCCCCAGCCCTGATCCCCACCCCCACCCCCCCCCAGCCCTGATCCCCACCCCCACCCCCCCAGCCCCCACCCCCCAAGCCCTGATCCACACCCCCACCCCCCCAGCCCCCACCCCGCAGCCCTGATCCCCACCCCCCCAGCCCCCAACCCCCAACCCCCCAGCCCTGATCCCCACCCCCACCCCCCAGCCCTGATCCCCACCCCCCCAGCCCCACCCCCCAACCCCCAGCCCTGATCCCCACCCCCACCCCCAGCCCTGATCCCCACCCCCCAGCCCTGATCCCCACCCCCACCCCCAGCCCCACCCCCCAGCCCTGATCGCCACCCCCCACCCCCCAGCCCTGATCCCACCCCCCCAGCCCTGATCCCCACCCCCCAGCCCTGATCCCCACCTCCCACCCCCCAGCCCTGATCGCCACCCCCAGAGCCCTGATCCCCACCCCCACAGCCCTGATCCCCACCCCCCCAGCCCTGATCCCCACCCCCCAGCCCCCACAGCCCTGAACCCCAGCCCCACCCCCCAGCCCTGATCCCCACCCCCACCCCCCAGCCCCCACCCCGCAACCCTGATCCCCACCCCCCCAGCCCCCACCCCCCAACCCCCCAGCCCTGATCCCCACCCCCACCCCCCAGCCCTGATCCCCACCCCCCCCAGCCCCCACCCCCCAACCCCCAGCCCTGATCCCCACCCCCACCCCCCAGCCCTGATCCCCACCCCCCAGCCCTGATCCCCACCCCCACCCCCAGCCCCCACCCCCAGCCCTGATCCCACCCCCCACCCCCCAGCCCTGATCCCACCCCCCCAGCCCTGATCCCCACCCCCCCAGCCCTGATCCCCACCTCCCACCCCCCAGCCCTGATCCCCACCCCCCAGAGCCCTGATCCCCACCCCCACAGCCCTGATCCCCACCCCCCCAGCCCTGATCCCCACCCCCCAGCCCCCACAGCCCTGAACCCCAGCCCCCACCCCCCACCCCCCAGCCCTGATCCCCACCCCCCAGCCCTGATCCCCACCCCCCAGCCCTGATCCCCACCCCCACCCCCAGCCCCCACCCCCCAGCCCTGATCGCCACCCCCCACCCCCCAGCCCTGATCCCCCACCCCCCCCAGCCCTGATCCCACCCCCCCAGCCCTGATCCCACCCCCCCAGCCCTGATCCCCACCCCCCAGCCCTGATCCCCACCCCCCAGCCCTGATCCCCACCCCCCAGCCCTGATCCCCACCCCCCAGCCCTGATCCCCACCCCCCAGCCCTGATCCCCACCCCCCAGCCCTGATCCCCACCCCCCAGCCCCACCCCCCCAGCCCTGATCCCCACCCCCCAGCCCCACCCCCCAGCCCCCACCCCCCAGCCCTGATCCCCACCCCCCCAGCCCTGATCCCCACCCCCCAGCCCTGATCCCCCCCCCCCAGCCCTGATCCCCAGCCCCCAGCCCTGACCCCCCAGCCCCCCCTTCACCTTGTACAATAGCAGTTCCGGGCTGGCGGCCCAGGTCGCCCTCTCAGGGTAAACACTGACCAGCGGTCGGAAGGCGACGGTCATTCGCGCATCTCCGGGTGACGACTTCCCTATACACACACCATCACTTCCGCTTCCGGCGCCTGCGGGAAGCAACGTCAACATCAGGCTCGCGCTGTGACAACTGGAGCGCCGCCATCATTGATCCTGGCACATCTGTGCCAGGCTGTGGCTCCACCAGTCTCAGGGCTCTGTGGCCAGGGCGAGAGATTGCACCTGAGTACAATGCACTCACCCTGTTCTCTTGGGTTAGCAGAGCATGCAGCATTTAGCAAATTCTTGAATCCTGTCCGAATATTTCGACAACAAACTATATTGTCAATTCAATTTGCAGTAAAATTCGGTGGAACACTTCTCAATGACATGATAAAGCACGGTATCAAATGCAAGGGTTATTATTATCAATAATAATTTTGAAACTTTTATGTACTCTACAGGTAACTGGATTCAAAGTAAGACGTGATAGACACATTTCCCAAATTCTCTGGCATGCTAAGAATATAGGACAAGTCCAAATGCAATCAGAATGGTAGAATTCTCCCTCCGAGTGCATAATTCAGACTTCCAGGATAGATGCAGTATTTAGTAGATCAGTAATATATAAACCTTTCATTGGCTCTGAGTTGTATGTACTTTTCTCTGGGGATTCGAATATGTTTCAGCTTCTCCCTTTCCCCCCTATGAATGGTGCACTAAAAAATATGCTTAACGTGAGCAAAAGCTAAATATAAAGGTTTTGGGGACCTTTTTTAAAATCTGGAAGAGAATCAATTCATTTTTTCTGTTATGTGCATCAGGAAGTGACACACAAATGCATGCCTTTGCTCTTGCTAACCTGTGCTTAACCTGCCAGAATTAGGTAAGCAGGATGCATCTTTCCAGAGAAAGAGAAAGTGCACATTCTATTCAGACACAGGGAAATTTCCATGTGTAGGTGGCACAGATACGTGGAACTCTCAATCTGGTTTGAAGAATCTTATCATGGTGATGGGTTTACGCATGTGTCAGACACCCGGCTGGCAAAAAACCTCTCCCTTCTCTCTCAGCCCCTCTATTTGCCTTTAAATCTTTAAATTTCCCCTTAAAGCCTATAGCCAATTCTCCCCCCTCAGCCCTTGGCGTCCAACCCTGTTTTTGTAAAGCGTTCCGAGACATTATCCTCTATAAAAGGTGTTCAGCCAGGTGTTTGACACATACGGAAACCCATCACCAAGCTCAAGAGTATCCAAACCAAGCTGAGAATTCCATGCATCCCACCAACATACGGAAATTCCAAAGATGTTTGTTGGAATGGAATCCACTCTCTATCCCTGGAGAGATACATCCTGCTCACCTAATTCTGGAAATTATTTGGTGCAGGTTGGCAAGACCCAAGGCTTGGGGACACGAGAGTGTGTGTTAGGGTACTGCTGGAGTCTAACCAGTTAAAACCACATAGCCTGGCAAGTTTTCCCGCTTCTTGTCCAGTTAATCCCTCTGCTTGTCCTCTACCCGTTAGGGCTTTGGTTTTCTTGGTTAACAGGAGCTAAGTGGGATGATTCCGTGCACCCAGTGACTTGTCTGCCTTTCCAGATCCTGCCGATAGCCAAACTGTCTATGCAGTCATCAGCAGTGCCCTGGAATACTGCAGACCCATCTGGCTCAGAATCTGGGCTACCAAGACTGCATGGAGGGTGGACTTGATTCTGACACTCCATTACCAAACAGCCAGTTCAGCACCAAGGAAACTCCATTTATCTCCCCCACCCTGGAGGATAATCAGTAGTTGGTCATTTGAAATCCAACAAGCAGGTTTAAGTCCTCACTAGGTGAATGGTAGTTACCAGGAACTTCTTGCGAGCTTCCTGATGAGCCACAAAACTTAGTATGCCTCCACGGAGCTTAGTACAAATCAGTGTAGGCTGGAGCCCTCGCTCCCTGTAGCTCTTCCGTGTGTTTGTCACAAATCCACCTCACTGCTTGATCCTGAACTATGCAAATAGGCTGGAGGGAGCCTCTCTGCTCCATCCCTAAGAATTCAGATCCATAAAGGAGGAATGTTTGCACATAGTCTTACATGCCACAAGCTTGACCTGCATTGGGTCCTTGCTGTCCTTGAGTAGAGATGGGAATGCCCTTCGCTCCTTCTCTGCCTGGTCCTCCAGGACAGAGTCCAGGCAAAGGTTGGTGTCCACCGAGGTACTGATAAGAATCAACAATTGGGTTTGATGCCTCTTGAATTTTTTTGAGGGGGTCAGCCGAGTGTCTGACACATGTGAAAACTCATCACTATGCTTAGGAGTATTCAAAGCAAGCTGAGAATTCCATGCATCACACCTACATATGAAATCCCAGAGATAGATGGTTGGAATGGATTGCACATTCTCTCTTCAGAGGAACACATCCTGCTTACCTAATTCCAGTAATGTATTAGGAGTAGGTTGGCAAGAGCCAAGACTTGGGAGCAAAGATAGTTTGCATTCTGTCTTCCAATCAATATCTTTGATGTCTTCTCTTGAGCCATGAAATGGACTATAAGTTAGATCCCTTCAGCTAAATGTTCTGAAATGGTGTCTATTGTGTGTCAATCTCTTAAAAATAATCATCTTTTTGTTGCATATTTCTTCTGAGATTGCACATAAGTACTAACAATAATAACTCTTGCATTTGATATAGCGCCTTATATAACTGAGACGTCACAAAGTGCTTCACAGAATACATGGTAAAGTGGATTGACTGTGTATTTTGCATTTAAAATATTTAAAATTTAAAAATGTATTTCCGTAGCAAGCAGATCACTATGGAGAGGACTATTTTCAGTGATCGGTCAATAATAGATCCCTTTGTCGGGATTAATAATTAGTGACATCATGAGCGGGAGAAAGGCAGAATCTTTATTTTAAGATATCATCAAATAACAATAATGGAGCCACTCTGGGGACTGAGTGGTTCAGTGGGTAGAACACTGTCTTCTAACGATTGAGACCTAGTTTTGAATAATGTACACTGACGATTGAAAAAATAGATATATACAATGGAAGAATATGCATGCTTCCAGTAAGAATGGCTGGATAATGATTCGGAGGGGAATATTGGTTGGTTAAAGCAAATGTTAGAGCCCATCGTGTTATACCGACTACAATTACATTTCTCACGATTGACCATGGATTGAACCTGAGATCCATCCAGTCTGTAAGGCTCAGCTGCTCACTGGATAAACATGCTGAGCCAATGAGGAAGCAAATCTATAATTTGATGTTGCCTGGCAAGAGCAATCTTCTGCAATTTATCTAATCCTATAAATTACTGCTGAAAACTCCATCATTACAAAGCAGTTGAAAGCAGTAGCTATGATTGAGAACTTTCAAAAGGGACAGGATCTAATGGTCTTCTCCTGCCCTAAATATGTTTTATGTTCTTAGGAATCCACACACAATAATAATAATCCTTGCATTTGATATAGCGCTTTTCACGTCAGGAGGATGTCCCAAAGCGCTTCACAGAACACACTGTAAAGTGAATTGACTGTATATTTGTGGGCGAACGCGGCAGCCAATTGCGCACAGCAATGTCCCACAAACAGTCGTGGATTGAAACTGACCAATTTTTATTATTGTTTTCGAGGGATTATTATTAGGCTCTGTGTGGAGTAAGGAAACTTGCCCAAGGTTTCGCCCTGCCTGGAATTGAACTCCGGTCTCTCACTTGCAAAGCGAGTGCTCTAACTACTGAGCTACAGGACTCCACGACTCCACACAGACAATCTGACACAAAACAAGTCTTGACCGATGAAAATTTATGCTATGTTCTTTTGTACTTCTCATAGATGTATATGTTCAACAACAGCAACTTGCATTTATGGTGGGGTAATGTCTCAGAGTATTTAACAGTGGTGGGACTTGATGCTGAGCCAGAAAGAAGGGTAGTGACCATGTTTTCATATAGTTATTAGTTGCCTCATTCATTTTTATTTAGATGGAAAATACTGTTGAATTTTCAATAGGTTAATTTGGTAGGCTATCTGGAAATGTTAGTAGTACTGTAGTTGTGAAAGCTCCATTTAAGGAAGCGTAATTCAGTTTTTATTTTGATAATAATTGAATAAGCAGAATAAACATTCATTTGTGATAGTGGTACTTCTCCACTATTATTAGTAACTTCATTTCAATTATTCAGTACGAAAAACTGGTTTCTACATTCCTATTATCATCTTAAGATACCGGTGGGTATATAATAAAGGGAAGATGTACCCTTCCAACACAGCAAAATAATTTTTGCACAAAATCCAAACTAAAATAATTTTTTTTGCATTTGTCTCAGTTATATATTGCATTTCGGTCTGAAAAGGTTCAGTAAGGATAAGCCTGAAGCCAAATAATAAAATATAAAGCAGCCAAAATCCATCTAATTTGAATTAACTCACATTATCATAATTTTGATTTGCTTCGATTTTTTGCATTCAGGTGCACTAGTCCCTTTAAGAAAATAGTACAGTGTATCCTTAATTGAACGATTTCTCAGCTAATGTCCATTCTACAGAAGTGAAATGGTATTTTAGAACCATGTTACCAGCTGGGAACATCGCAAACCAGAGAGTAAACATTATGCAGAAGAATACATATTTAGCTATGGCTTACCTGATCTGTCTAATCTTTCCCTATAGTTATCTGAACGATCCATCTACCTCCAAGATAGCTGCTACCTTCATAGTTTACTGACTCTCTGTATGAACTAGGAAGCATTTTCCATTGATTTTGCATTCTATGTTAGTGGGTATTTTGGGGCTTTTGATCTAGATTCAGATAATTGAACTTTCCGGGAAAGAAGTGGGAAGAATCTAAATGAATATATATCGGTTGTGTTTGGCATAATGTTAAGCCATAATGGAAACATAGTTGATTCTCAGAAGCAAAAAAAATCATTCGGTCATTAAAAGGATTAAACACTATTATCAAGATATTGACAGGGGAAGTGTACAATTCTGTTTAAGCACTTTGTGCAATTTTCATTTATACAGAGACAAACACACACAGTTACAGAAGTACAGCACGCATAGATTCATGACAAGCAAACAGTCC